ACCTCAGGTTAAGAACTTTGCTTCAGGATGAGAACAGAAATTGTGCTCCTGCGGCGCGGCGGCAGCAGGAGGCCCCATTAGCTAAAGTGGTGCTTCAGGTTAAGAACAGTTTCAGGTTAAGAACGGACATCCAGAACGAATTAAGTACTTAATCTGAGGTACCACTGTACTCTGCAATGTCTTCCTCTAGTGACCATCACCAGACTTGCAGGACCTCAACATCTCTTTCCTCTCCTTACAGCTCGCCCACAACTTCATATAGTCACCAGGCCATCAGGGAAGACGTTCTTGGTAGCTGAGTGCCTAGTGTGTGGGTTTTACCCAGAAAACGTTGAAGTGCAGGGGCTGCAAAATGGGGAACCGATACAAGGGAGAATATACAAGTCTGGCCTTGAAAAGAATTCTAATGGGACGTTCTCAACCGGAAGCGTCTTCTTCCCAAAGCAGGGCCATTTTGCAGCCAATTTTACCTGCCAGGTACAACATGAAGCACTGGAGGCACCACTGGAGGAGACGATCCCCTGGGAGCCAGAAGGTGAGGGTGCTGGAATTACCCACCCCTCATCCCCAGAATGTATTACCAAATCACCTCGGCCAAAACTGAAACCTGCATCTCCAACTGACCCTCCTCCAGCTCCAGGATCACCGATGACTTGGCTGCTAGGACCTCTTGGACTTGCTTTGGGACTTGTCCTAGGAGGTGGAGCGATGTTGATGTACCAAAGACGCAGAGGTGAGTTGGGGCTGCTGGGAGTGGTGGCAGAAAGGGCAGCAGAGTCCGTGGGGAGGCAAGGCTGCAGTGCTGGGGCACAGGACTTCAGATTGCAGTTTGGAAGCACCTGATTATTGCGTCCTCTCTCTCACTCTCTCTCTCTCTTAGCAGCCAAGAACGAGCAAGCTGAGCCAAATGACCAAACCCTCCTGAAGAAGATGGGAGAAGATGCCGAAAGCCATGAAGGAAAAGCCAGGTGAAGTTTTTGGTATCTAAGAGGCCACAGAATGACATTTGGCACAGGCAATGCAATACTGTTCAATTTCATTATGTATTTCCTAAAAAATGCATTTCCAGTATGATAATTGCAGGAGGCTTCATTTTAAAGTCAATGTGATTTAAATCATTTAAAATCAACCTTACATTCTGAAATTATATATATATACAGTATATATATAGAGAGAGAGCTCTGAACTCTTTGGGAATTCAAAGAAACCAAGGGATATTGAGGCTTTTAAGATGGATATTATAATTTGTTAGTTTCAGGGCTGTGCCTCTGCCAACTCAGGGCCCCAAATGAGCCCAAGGAACACCTGATCCAGCCTGATCTTCATACTGATGACCAGTTGTGTTGTGACATACAAAAGAGTGCCTAGCTTGAGGGTTCGGTTAATGTTTAATTAAGGTTAATAAACCCTTCATGTCAGGAGGCAGGTTGGGGAACAAGAAGTAGCATCTCCTTGCCTCCCCGCTCTGACTGCAGCATCGAGAGCAAGAGGGTTCAATCCTGCCTGGTGCTGCTTCACCAACACATCCCCCAGTCTGCCTCTCCTCTTTCTCCATCATTTCCCTCCCTGTCCCAGTTTGTGTGTAATATGATTTCTTTTCTCCTTTAGTTTTTCGCCTAATACGCTGCATTATCTGTATGGCTACACTTTAGTTTCACCTGTACCAAGTTATGTTTCTTGTTTTTAACTCTTTAATTCTTGTTCTGAATTCTGTATGGAAAAGCAAATTTCTTTTTTTATTATTCATGTATGCTACAACAGCGGCAAGAGTCTTGATGGCACAAGGATGTAAGAATGAGGAAACCCAGCCAAAGGAACAGTGGCAAGAGAAATTGATGTACTATGCAGAAATGGCTAAACTGACATACAAACTGTGAGATAAGGATAACTGTGACTTCAAAGAAGAATTTGAACTTTTTACAAAGTATTTAAAAAGACAACAAAATGAATTGGACTCCTTGGCAGCTTTTGAATAAACATACACAAATTTAGTGATTGATAACTAAGGATGGAGAACCCCAGTTGCCTCCTGCAACCCTTGAGCCATAGTCAACTACAATGCTACATCTTAATTAATACAGATTTGGGTTTTTTAAAAAATAAAATAAAAACACTTTATGGAAATTTGTTTTTCCTTTTTTAAAAAAAATATTAACAATTTCAACATAACAATATATCAAAACATATCATATTCATTACACTGGGGAACAATTTTTTTTTTTCATTTTCTGTTACATGAGATTTTTCAGCTGTTCTTATATGTTCTTTCAATGCTGATTTCAAATCTGAAATCGATTTTCATGTACATGCTATAGTTATCTTGCAATTTCCAACTTTTGCCAATATGTCATATTTACACTGGGGATAAGTGGACACATTTTTGTCTACTCGAAGAAGCCATGGTCCGATATGAAAAATACAAATATTTAGGCTACAAAACTGTAAAAATAAAGAAAAATTAAGTTTGCAAAACAATAATTACCATGTGGTTAGGGTAGATCAATGTGTCAGTGTCCACTTATCCCCAGTGTAAATATGACATACAGTGGTACCTCAGGTTAAGTACTTAGTTCGTTCCGGAGGTCTGCTCTTAACCTGAAACTGTTCTTAACCCGAAGCACCACTTTAGCTAATGGGGCCTCCTGCTGCCGCTGCACCACCAGAGTATGATTTCTATTCTCATCCTGAAACAAAGTTCTTAACCCGAGGTAATATTTCTGGGTTAGCGGAGTCTGTAACCTGAAGCATATGTAACCCAAGGTACCACTGTATCGGCAAAAGTCAGAAATTGCAAGATAACTATAGCATGTACACGAAAATCGATTTCAGATTTGAAATCAGCATTGAAAGAACATATAAGTACAGCTGAAAAATCTCATGCAAAACAAAATAAAAAAAAAGTTCCCCAGTATACTGTATATCCCAAGGGAATACATTTTTTTTGCATACCTCCAACTGTACATAGATATACATGTCATTTTCAATGCTATACATGTCATGTTCAATGCTATATAAGTCACTTACATTTATACTCATATTGTACTACTTTGGCTATGTGTTTAATAAAATATTGAATTCTTGCATTGTGAAAAACAAAGATTATGGTAAAAAGTGAAAAACATGAATTGCAAAAAAACTAGAGCTTACAGAACAAAACCAACTTCAGATATGAAATCAGCATGTCGAAATTAGGTTAGAACAACTGCAGGTGTCAATGCAACAAAAATTTTGTTGCCCAGTGTTATTCCCCCCCCCCCCCGACTTCCCTCAGCTCCTCTCTCTGATTTATCAGCACATATCATTCTCTGCATATTATAAAATTATATCAATCCTTATATTATCTATCTACCATGTTACTGTTTTGCGCCTGGAGTCAGTCAGTGCAGCTTGGAATTCTAGTTAAGAAAAGAAAAGAAAAAAACAGACACAGCCCTGAAGTCTGCGAAGCCCTGCTAGAGTTCATGCACATTATAGCAAAATTCTCCCCCTGTGATATTTTGTTCCTTCATACTCAGATAATAATATCAGGCCATTTGATAAATTGCTGAGAAAAGCAACTAGTGCTTCTCCAGTGAGTGGCATGTCTGAAATCCTAGGGTTTATTCAAAACTGAAGCACAACTCTCGTTCCCACTGTCAAATGCTGAGATTCAGCCCTGAATAGTATTCAAGAGTGCTTTTTGACAGCAGAATACCTGGGAGGTTTGGAACCCACTTACTAACATATAGCATCACAGTCCTTCTGAGGTTTTCACATGCAAAGGAAACTGCCTTATCCCAAGTCAGACTATTGGTCTATCTAGCTCAGTGCAGTCTACACTGACTGGCAGCAGCTGCCCAGGATTTTAGACAAGGAATATTCCCAGCCCTGCCTGGAGATGCCAGGGATTGAATTTAGAACCTTCTGTGTTCAAAACAGATGCTCTATTGCTGAGCTGTGGCCCTCCCCGATAGTTTTAATTCTGATTTTTCGAGGATTTTAGCTTTCTAAAGTGTGTAAACATTACTATTGCTTTTCAGTTGTGTATTTCTAAGTATATTTAGAAGACTCTGGTTTTATTTATACATTTCTTCTTTATGTAGATCCCACATGGGACTGTATCCCTTTTCATTACCACTTTCAATTCATGGGTCTATTGTTCTTAAGGAGGAACCACACTAATATGCACATAGACAGAAGTGCATTTAGGCGTGGTTCCTCAAAAACAACAGACAATCCGATTTTAGATGGCATGCTTATTTCCATGTAAGTTGACATATGTTCTTTTCATCGACATGAGCAATAATATATATAGTGTCCATTTTTTAAGGCACTACAGAATGACTTTTTACTCTTTTATTATGGGTTTTCTAATAACCTGCAGGTGTGGCTTTGCTTTAAAATTATGGTACAATTTTCTGCTTAAAAAGACTATTTCAGGTTGAAACACATTCAAGCCTTTGATACCTTTTCATACACGGGCACCAAACAGTTATAATCAAGTTCGTGGTTATTTATCGAATATTGATCTTTGGCTCAGTGTGCTTATTGAGTTTTATTCCATTACTTGTTTTAGCATTAACCTCTATGTCCACTTTAGCCTGAGAAACATGTAAAGGAACATAGGAAGCTGCCTTATATTGTCAGATCCTTGGCCCATCCAATTCAGTACTGTCTACACTGACTGGAAGCAATTCTCTAAGGTTTCGCGGATAGGTCTCTTCCAGCTCCTTAAATCAGGCAGGGCTAAACTTCGCCCTCTAGCTGTTTTGGGACTACAACTCCCATCATCCCTAACTAACAGGACCAGTGGTCAGGGATGGTGGGAATTGTAGTCCCAAAACAACTGGAGGGAATCAACAACAACGCCAAAGACTTCGGGAGAAGAAGGGCAAGGAAAACTACAGTTCCCAGAATTCTTTGCGCGCTGCAGCGGAAGAGGCGGCTTGATTCGAAACTTTATTGGGTGGTGGCGGTGAAGGACAGAGGCGTCGGGCGTGACGACCAATCGGGGCGGGCGGGGCGGGGCGGGCTGTCAAACAAAACCAATAAAGAGAGCTTGATGCCGCTGCTATGGCGGAGACGGTAAATATGCGCGGGGGTCTGTGTTTAGGGATGGTGGGGCCCTTTCGCGCTCGCGCGGCGCCTGCGCCTCACTTCCCCGTTGCCTCTTGCAGGTGGAGCCCTGCTCCAGCAGCGACTCGGAGCCGGAGGGGACCCCCAGGAAGCCCCCCATCAAGCGCCGCCGCATCCTCCCCGCGGACTTCGGCGTGGCCGCCGTCCCCGTTTACTCCAGCAAGGCGAGTGCCGCGCGGCGGGGGCGCCTCTCTCTCTCTCCCCTTCAGCCGAAAGGGAAAAGGAAGACTTGCCAGGGCGGCTTGCAGACGTCAGCGGCGAGACAGTCCCTCAGCCCGACCTGAAAAGGCGGGAAAGGAAAAGGGGTCGAGGAGGGAGGAGGAAAGAAAGCTAACTGCATTGGAGTCGTGCTCTCGGGGCTTTCAGTGGAGGTTCATTTCTCTTCAGTGAATGACGGAAGCAAAATACTTAACCCTTCTGCCTTCGCTGTTGTTACAGCATTATTATATCCAGCCCCCCCCCCCCCCCAAGCATAAGGCAGCATGCTCCCCACCCTGTTCTCGCCTGCTCAACTTCTTTTTCTGTGCTGGGAGGAGGAGAACCCAGGAGTGCTTTAATTTTAGTTCACTTCCCAATAGCTCCAGGGATTCCCTATTTTTTTTGCTTACTTGATTTAGACTCTTCCTCCACTCCTCACTACCAACACACTCTTGGCTGGATTGGACCCTGATGTCCTAGCAGCTACCTTTGCAGAAACTAATCCACTGTCCTTTTCTAAACAGCTTAGCAGTATTGCTTCCTGCCTGCCCAAGTGTCCGGGGAGAAAAACTGAGTTGTTTTTTGTCCTTTCTCTCTCTCTCTCTCTCTCTCTCTTCCCGTCCCCCCCTTGACAGGTTCAGAACAGTCTCCATCTGTTCCCTGAGTCTCTGAAACTGCCCGTTCAAATCCCAGTGCTGTCTTCTGAACCCCAAGTCATTGACACATCAGATGAGGAAGAGGCAGAGGAGGAAGAGGCTCCTACAAAGCAAGTGGAACAAGAAAAGAGGTCTGCTGCTTTCTCTTCCTCTAACCAGCTGGTCTGGAATTCCCAATTAAAACCATATCTCTGTTGTTCTCCCTTCAACAGACGTAAAGCTCTTTCCCCTTCACCGCCACCTCCACCGCAGCTCAAGAAACGACGCCATGGAGCTAAGTAAGAATCTGGGGTCCTCTGGAAGGGGAGTGGGGTTCTGTGGATTGGTGCTGGGGTGTGGCGGGGGGAGAGAAAGAGAAGCCTTCCAGGCTTATTGGGGAGGACTGGGATCTATAAAAACCCCTGTCACCCTGATTTGGCAGGCACAAGACATTTCTAAAGCCATGGGTAGGCAAACTAAGGCCCGGGGGCCGGATCTGGTCCAATCGGCTTCTAAATCCGGCTTGTGGACGGTCTGGGAAACAGCGTGTTTTTACATGAGTAGAATGTGTCTTTTTATTTAAAATGCATCTCTGGGTTATTTGTGGGGCATAGGAATTCGTTCACCCCCCCCAAAAAAAATATAGTCCGGCCCCTCACAAGGTCTGAGGGACAGTGGGCTGAAAATGTTTGCTGACCCCTGTCTAAAGCCACTTTTTGTGCGTTTAGCTGGCTCATGTATTGTGCCAGCTTTTGTTTTTTTTGTACTCTGCAAGAGATTTGGCTTTCTGGGAGGGGAAGGAGAGACAGGTTTCTTGGTGGTGGTAGGCTTAGATTAGCTAGAGTCCACTCCCATAAAGCCAAGCAGATCAGTGAAAGAAATATGTTGTACTATGTGTCTCAGGTTTACAAAACTTTGTCCTGGGGTTGGGGAACCTGTAGTCCTCTAGTCTAGATGCTGTTGGACTACAGCTTCCTCCATCCACACTAACCTTTAGCCATGCTGCCTGGGACTGGTGGGAGCCAAAAAACATAGGTGAGGTCTCCCCATCCCTGCTTTATGTCATCTCTTTCTTTTAACCAAGTCCTAGCAGTGTATGTTCCCAGAACACCTTTGCTAAGCTAATTTGTCCTGTACATATTTAACAGATGGGGCTCAGAGAATGCCTCAGCCCAGTTCCCCATAGATCATCCATGACAGAGACGTGTTTTGAATCTGGTCTATCAGTGGTCTAGTCCTCTAACTCACAACTTGTGGCTTTCAGAACTACTTTCAGCAAAAGGTTTATGGTGATTAATTTTTTAAGGTGGTATGCTTGCGATGTAGGTATCTTATTCCCACCTGTTTAATGGGGTTCTTTTTGTTCCGTTGTCTCCTCAGAAACTTCCACCAGAAGCTCAGGAATCTGACATCCTCCCTCTCAGCTGCCAAGAAAAGCTTGCAAGATGAGGAACTCAGAGATGATGTGATCCTGATTGATGTACTTGAGCCCTCCGAGTCCCCGGAATTGGTGCTAAAGATCCGGTGTCGGGCTGATCTCTACAAAGTTTCTGTTCAGATGGTGAGTTGCCATTGGGGGAAGAGCATCTGCTTTGCATGCTGCAGGTCCCACCTTATATCTCTGGCATTTCCAAGTAGGAAGGATTGGGAGAAACTTCCTGCCTGAAACCCTGGGAGTTCGCCAGAAGTAGCTTAGTCCTGCTGGCCACATGTACGCCGGCTCCCTCGGCCAGTAAAGCGAGATGAGCGCCGCAACCCCAGAGTTGTCCACGACTGGACCTAATGGTCAGGGGTCCCTTTACCTTTTACCTTCCTAGTCTATATACTGCACTCAAAATGCCTGACCACTGCTTTGTTCTTTCCCATCTGTTACAAGTATTCCATGGCTCTTTTCCTGATAGCCCTGCTTAAAATTGTGAATGTTTTTGTGATTATCGGGAATAGTATGGGATCTTTACTTATTTAAAATATTAACACCCCACTTTTCTTCCTGACTATTGGCCTCCGAGACAGCTGAGAATAATTGGGGGGGGGGGTTTAAAGGCTGTGTTGGCTTGTGGAGGCAGGAAGATGGTGATGATAGTGATAACTGGGAAATGTCCACTTTCCAGGACCTGGATGTTACTGCAGCAACATAAATACGTGTTGAGACATGTTTGTTTTCTGTTTGAAGGGTTTCTACCCGTATCTTCAGCCAAAAAATGGCTTGTGAGACACTGATAAAAATCAGTAAGAGAGTTCTGCCCTCAGGGCTTAAATTCTCTAAAGATCACAAAGGAAATGGAATTGGGGAAGAGAAGGAAAAAACAACCTCCCTGGGCAATTGAGCAGGTAGGGTTTTCCTGGTATATGGTGTTTTTTCTAACTCCTTTAACTTTGCACCCCATAGACTGACCCCCTTCAACGAGTGATTGAGCACATGGCTCAGACGCTGAAGGTTCACCAAGACAGAATACTTCTCCTGCTCCGAGATCGCGAACTTGCCGCTGATGCCACCCCCCGTGTACTGGGCCTGGGTGTGGCTGATATAATCGGTGAGTAGTGGGTGGGTTTTTTTGTTTCCAGGGGAGTCTTCAGTCCCTTAAGTCTCTCTGTATGACTGTCGCCATCCTTGTCCTCTGAGTTGGGGATGCTGATGCCCTTCTAGAGAGCCAGTGTGGTGTAGTGGTTAAGAGCAGTAGTCTCGTAATCTGGGGAACCGGGTTCGCGTCTCCGCTCCTCCACATGCAGCTGCTGGGTGGCCTTGGGCCAGTCACACTTCTTTGAAGTCTCTCAGCCCCACTCACCTCACAGAGTGTTTGTTGTGGGGGAGGAAGGGAAAGGAGAATGTTAGCCACTTTGAGACTCCTTAAAGGGAGTGAAAGGCGGGATATCAAATCCAAACTACTACTACTACTACTACTACTACTACTCCTCTTCTTCTTCTTCTTCTTCTTCTTCTTCTTCTTTCGCTCCCAATGGACCCCTTGCTCCTGTTCTCCTGCTCTGTTCCCAGACCCTGCTCTTCCATTATGAGAGCTAATCTGTGATCTAGTGGTCGGAAGTGATTGGGGAGAACCCAGCTTCAAATCCCCATACAGCTCATGGGATAATGCTGGGTCAGTCTGTGCCTCTCAACCTAATATACCCTACAATGGAACTGAGGATTACATTGTGGGGGGATTGCTGTCTTGATCTCGCTGGTTGTGTATCAATGTAATGTGGACTTCCTCCAGATTGTGTGGTGGAGACGACTAGCCAAGGGAGCAGTGATGCTGGAAACCTTCAGCTCCGGGTGCAAGGGAAAGACAAAAGCTCCCAGATGGAGTTTACCCTCCAGAGGGTAAGGAGACTGTGGTTTGGGGGCAGAGGGCTACTTGGTGTTGGTGGGGCAGTATTGCAGCTGTCCTTCTCTCTTGTTCCTGCAGGGGGAGCCATTGCAAAAACTTATGAGTCACTACCGTAAAGCCCAAGGTTTCGGCAGATGCAAACTTGCGTTCTATTTTGATGGACAGCGTTTGGCAGCAACCTGCACCCCTGAAGAGTTAGGGATGGAGTCTGGCGACGTCATTGAAGTATGGAGCTAAAAATCCTTCCATCTCTTCAAAGAGGCTGTTCCCGTGAGGGGGTTTTACTGCTTCACCTGGGCTCTGTGTTCATTGTGTCTAATGTCTGAGTGCAAGGGAAGCAGCCTTGTTCTTCTTAAACATGATAGGAGTGTGGTAATTTCTGTCTGTTCCAGACACAGAGAGGGATGACTGCATTCCAATGTCACGTTCCATGCACCTACCTGAAACTTAGTTAATAAAGCAAATTTTGTAACTGGCCCCCTTTGAGCAGAGTGGAAAGAAACTGCTCAGTTATAGTGAAAGCAATACACATTCTGGAGGGCCAGTGGGCACTGAATAATTGTTTTGTTTAAATCAGTGGCTCTTTTCCATTTGTTTTAACAATGCTGTATAATCCTGTTACCGTTTTCCTTCTTTACCTTTACTTGGTGGTAGTAAGCAGAACTGGATTATTTGAGACCTGTGCAGTCTTTTAAACCCTACTAGAAAATTATAGTCCTCTTATTTCTATGCCAGATTTCTCAAACTTCCTTTTTGAAGGCTAGCCAACCTCTCCAGGATTGTTAGGCTGAAATTCCCTTGACCACTGGCCATGCTTGCTGGTACTGCTGGAACCTGTAGCCAAACATCTGGAGGATATTACATTGTCTATATCTGTTTATATGCATCACCACCCTGAATATGGCTTTTTAAAGCAAATTTGTAATCCATGTGTGCAGAGTATAAGTTGGCGTGTGAATAGCATAGCTGCACTCAAAAGATACTATCTTACCTATACTCTTCCATGTACATCTAACTTACCTAACAATGTCTCTTTGTTATTTAATTGCTAGATTTGTACCTCCTTTTTATTGAAGTCGTCCCTACAGCAAATGAGAGATGGAATGAATCCTAATAAAAAGCAGTATTTTTTCAAAGTAACACAGAACCAGTCCACCAGAATCCTGATGTTGTCCCTGCCTCCCTTCCTACTTTTTCTCCTGTTCCAAGTTAGGTCCAAAGTCCTTCACATAAAAGTATGTCAAAGCTGTAGTTTACTTATTTAGGCATTTGTCCATGAAGTTCAATGGGATTAATTCTGAATACAAACTCTGGCCTTGCAACTCATAGGGGACAAAGATTCTGATATTTATTGGATTATTTGTGTTTCTGTGGAAACATAGCATCAACTTCATGGGTATTCAATGACTGCATAGAATTTTGGTAGCTTTTCTCTGTTGCTATGCTGCAAGAAACTGTCTGCCAAAGTTTCTCTTCTCGGACGTTGGCAGGCTTTAGGTTTCAGGCTGCAAAACTGCAGAAAAATGTTACAAGCTACTAGTTTACTTTTTAAAATGTGAAGGACTTTGCCCCTAATTTGTATGTTGACTTTTTCATTGTCTAAAGCTTGGCATGCTTTGCCCTACTTAAGCATACTTTCACCTAGTTTTGATCTTGGCCAATGCAACTCTTAAACCCATTTTGCAAAGTGTGAAATGTTTTAAATAGGCGGTTTTGTGATTTGAAGGGCTTCAAAGTTGTTTGCGTCTTCAGTTCTGCCAAATTTGAGACTTTTTTTTGTTAAAACCAATATTAAAATAACCCACCACAAAAAATAGCAGAGCAGGCCCTGCCTTTAGCCAGAATAAGGCAGCTGCCTCAGGTGACAGATTTTGGAGGGGCAGCAATACAGGATATACACAGACTAAGGCTTAACTGCTAGTCTGGCTGGCTTTGAATGGGGGCACCATTGTATTCTTTGCCTTGTACTGGTTCTGACAGTTACAGCCATCAACACACTGGCGGAGGAAGAGGAGTGCAGGGAGAGCGCACCGCCCCCGGCAGCGCGATCCCCAGGGTGCCATCGTGACGGGCCCCCCGCTGGGTGTCCCGCCCCCACCTCCTCTCCACCCCCGGTGCCGGAGCATGAAGCTCCGCCACTACATCAACGCCCTAGAAGTTGGTACCAGCAGATTTGCCGAGTCTACGAAACAAAATGCCTTGAGGAAAAAATGAAGGGGTGGGGGAAACAGCCCAATGAGGAATGAGTGTACTCACTAGCCCCAAACATTACACTCACGCGTGAGGGTGAAAAAGAGGGATGGAACAAAATGTTTTGGAAAAGGACATGGTTGGCCTGAGCAGCAGCAATCCATACTAGAACATTTTTTACAGACCCCTCACTTTACAATTTACTGTTGTGTTGTGTTGTGTTGCAAAAAATAAAACTCCTCTGGGACTTTAAAAAGAGCCTTGTGCCTGGCTGAAGTGTTTTCATTTAATCTTCCTTAGACTGCAGGCAGTTTAGTTTTATGTGAAGTGCACGACGTTGTCTTGCCAAATGAGTGGCAGCTTGATTTTTGCCCTTGCAGCCAGGCGGTAAGTAAATGCAGCCTTTAAATATCTGCCAAGTCTGGCAGGTTGTGAGTTGTGCAGATCTGAGTTAGGATGACTTTATTACCCACCAGTGCCGAATTTATGTATAAGCTAAGTAGGCTAAAGCCTAGGGCCTCTAAATCTAGGGGGCCTCCCCAGCCCGCCCACCCCCGAGCGGGTAATCTCCCCTCTCCCCAAATTGCAAACCCAATACTTCATGTGAGGGCAGGGGTAACTCGGGCCCAGCAACTATGAGACTCAATTTGCCCAATTTGAAACTCTAGGGCCCAACTTGAATTTTTTTTTGTGGGGGGCCTTGGCTTCACTCAATTTTGTTTATAACTTTCTTCCATTTTCTTCCAGTTGTGAGGGTGGGGGATTGGGAGGGGCCTCACAAGTGGAGTAGCCTAGGGCCTCTCTTCACCTAAATCTGGCCCTGTTACCCGCACTAATTCAGGACTGTAAAAAGTGTTGGTTTCCAGGCAGTGTGAAGGGGGGGGGACTGCCATGACAGGGAGAAGACCTGGGGTGTAAATTTCAGAAGGGTAGCCATGCATGTCTGTTGTATCAAACACAACAAAGGCTCTGATGGCTTCCTGAAAGACTGACAAAAAGAGTTATTGTGGAGTAGGTTTGTTTGGACTAGATGGTTGCACAAACAGGATTTCTGGTGCCTCAACAAACCTATTACATCTGAGGTACCACTACTTTTGTTTGTAACAGACTGAACAGGGTTACCCACTTCTAGACATTACCAATCCTCTTGGTTGTGTGTGGGATCTCTCATAAAGCATTCACGTTCAAGATAGTGACTCATAAGAATGCAAGTGCCTGCTGGATCCGGATTTCTAGTCCAGCATCCTCTCCTCACAGGGGCCAGTGGGAAGCCTGCAAGCAGGTCAGGAGCACCACAGCACCCTGCCCACCACCTGTCTCCTGTTCCCAGCAGCTGGCGAACCCAGCCATTTTGATAGCCTCGTCCTCGACAAACTTGCCTGATCCTCTTTTAAAGCCATCCAAGTTTGTGGCCATTCCTTACTCCTGCGGGTGGGAGTTCCAAACTTTTTAATCGTGTGTTGGGGGAAATTCCGTCCTTTTTATTTTGCCGCTCCTGATTTCTCCCAGCGTTCAGCGTCAAGGGATGCCCACGAGCGCTGCGAGGGAGAAACCCATCTCTCTATCCATGCAAGGTGTTGGCAAACGTCTATCATGTCGCCTCTCTTACTCAAGGGAGTGTTTGTCACAGATTTTGGGGTGGAGGCGTGTGACGGGAAGTGATTGTGGAGTTTAATGTGCTTTGGAGACGTGACGGAAGGCGCGCTGGCTGCTTTCCCGATAGCGAGACGGCGGCAGTAAACAAGGCGCCAGGTGTGTTGCGGGGACCGGGGAGCGCAGGCCGCAGCGCTCTGGTAACCATGGCGACGAAGGAACGCGCCTCGAGGAGGGCAGGGACCCGTGATGGGTCGTTCAAACTTCCACAGAAGGGGCAGGGAGCCTGGGCTTGGGCTGGTAACTATGACAACCGAAGTAACCCCCACGCTGCCGCCGCCACACACACACACACTAGCCTCTCTGACGCCTTGAGGGGCGGGAGAGAGCGCGCGGCGCGTCCTGTATTTGTATTGGTGACGCGGAAGGCAATCAGGCGACCGGCTCTGTTGCCATGGCACCCAGGGGTCGGGAGGCGGAAAGGGCGGGGACGAAGAAGAGTCACATGATAATCAAAGCTCGTGAAAGGAGGGCAAGGAAAAGAGCCGTCACGTGATCCCGCCGAGCCGCTCCGGCGAGTGGGGAGGGGGTGGCAGGCAGGGTACGTCCGTCGCCGGGGAGGGCGGCGTGTGAGATGCTGGCGGGGCCTTGGTAGGGCCGGGGAGAGCGGGTGACGGGACTCCCTCCCTGGGTAACTCTCAGGTTAGCATTGGGAGAGGCGAAAGGGGGGCGTTTGCGGGTGGGGGCTGCAGGTTAATGACAGCTTTAGGGTGAGGTCAGGCTTGGTGGGGAAAGGGGCCTGTTGTCATTTTTCTCCCTTCAGTCTGAGATGTGACTCTGAGGAGTAGCTACCCTTAAATTCATCTTTGGCTTTGTTTACATTATAGCAATATATGTATGTAATAATAACAATAATAACATAATAAATAAATAAGGGAGTGGGAAATAAGAATCTAATGCTGAACAGTGGGTGTCTTTTGCCTTTGTGTTACTGACTGGCCTTCTCTTCTGGTCGCCGTCTTCTTCTGGTTCTTTTTCTCGCCCTAGTTAAGTTCTTCTGTAACTGCCATAAGATTTGCTGCTCTCCCCTGCAGTTCTTTAGGGTATGTAAGGGGCTGGCTATCTCATATTGTCTCTCCAGTGGGTTCTTCTTGCCCCTGGCCATGGCATCTCAGCGGCAACCTTACGTGGATACGGCCCCAATCCTGACCCAGGCAGATGACACAGAGGAAGAGGGAAAGGATGGTCTGCAAACTGGGCATGAAGGGGAAGAAGAGGTACAGACCCTCACAGGCATCTCCTCTACACGGGCTGGCTTCATTGTGGGAGTTCTCTGCTTTGTTAACCTACTGAACTACATGGACCGCTTCACTGTGGCTGGTAAGGGTGCTGGGGTGCTATGAGAATGTAGCTGGAACTTCTCTTCCCAGCTGTGTCAGGTGGGTGGGCACTGTAAGTTTTAAAGCGACGAGGGGTTGATTTTCTCCCCACCCACAACAATCCTTAACTTTAGATCATGAAGGGCATGATGGATTGTTTTGGGGTGAGGATACTTAGTTGTCTTTCCTCAGTATTAACACTGTGATCCTTCTTCCTTACCTCAGGCGTTCTTCCTGACATTGAGGCATTTTTTACAATTGATGATAGCAAATCAGGGCTCCTACAAACAGGTGAGTAGGGTGGTGGGGCTTCCCCACCCACAACCCAGGCACTTTGTAAAGGCAGTGCTATTGAAGCAGGAGTGTTTGCCACTGGGAATAATTATTTCTTTCTTCTCAGTTTTTATTAGTAGCTATATGGTACTTGCACCAATTTTCGGTTACCTGGGGGATCGCTATAATCGCAAATACCTGATGTGCATTGGGATCACCTTCTGGTCAATAGTGACGCTGGGGAGCAGCTACATTCCCAAGGAGGTATGGGGGCAGGGGAGAAGATTCTGTAGATTAGTTTTCACCCAGGCATGGGGAAGAACTTTGGGTTTGGAATCTGTGTGTCTTCCCTTCCACCCCCCAGCACTGAGGCTTATGGGGCAGGGGAGATCTGGCACAGCTGTCCTCTTGAGATTGGGAAGGTGCAAGGCTTTCCTTCAGTTTAAGCTGTGTGTCATTAAGCTGAACTCTGGATAAAATCACAAACATTTGCTAGCTGGTAAGAAACTGTTTTGGAAGGCCTTGTGCCTGATTGACTAGAGGAGATTCTTGTCACAAGCCACAGAAAAGTGGCTATTTATAAAGTATTGCTGAACAGGTTTGAAACCTGTTCTTGACATTCACACTTACCAAACAAGGAATCCTAGGAACTGTAATTCTGAGAAGGGGTTAAGAATACTTTACCAAGTATTCTTTGCACCCATACATGACTGCATGCCCTGAGGTTCTTTAGGGGTGTGTTTCAGATTTATAGCTACACTATTACATCTCCTCAGTTTATTGTTTGTTTTCTCCACAGATGTTCTGGCTGTTGCTGCTGACACGAGGCATGGTGGGTGTGGGAGAGGCCAGCTACTCAACTATTGCCCCCACCATTATTGCTGATCTGTTTGTGGGTGACCGGCGATCCCGCATGCTCAGCGTCTTCTACTTCGCCATACCTGTGGGCAGGTGCGAACACCCTGTGGTCTGTTTCAGGGCGGGGTATGCACTGTAGTGAAGTTGAACTAGAGATACTCATCTGTTTACTGTAAATAGGCAATCAGCCTTATGCAACAATCAAAGCAAGATGTGTGTGTTCATAAGGCATGGAATAGGAGCATAGGAAGCTGCCTTATATAACTGATTCAGACCATTGGCCCATTTAGCTCAGTATTGTCTACACTGACTGGCAGCAGCTTTCCAGGGTTTCAAGCAGGGCTCTTTTCCCAGCCCTATCTGGAGATGCTGGAAAGTGAACCTGGGGTTTTCTGCATGCAAGGCAGGCACTCTGCCGCTGACCTCTGGTATTCCCCCATTGTTGCAATGACCAAACCTAATTGGCTTTCACAGAAAGAGGGGAGCCTGCCTGAGTGTGGGTCTGACTGTTCTCCCTTTTCACCTGCAGTGGACTGGGCTACATAGTGGGTTCAAAGGTGAAAGATGTGGCTGACGACTGGCATTGGGCCCTGCGGGTGAGTAGGATGGGGATACAATTGTACTGGTTAGTGTTTGTTCCCTTATGTTCATGTTGCAGTTCAGCTCATCTTCATCACATTGTAGTAAGCTTGTCTGCTGTGCACCTATGCATTCATGTTTTTATTTTCTTCTGTTTAGAATGCCTCCAACTTAGATCATTATCTTCTCATACAGGTGACACCAGCCCTGGGGGCGTTGGCGGTGATACTGTTGATAACTGTGGTGCGGGAGCCGCCTCGAGGAACTGTGGAGACGCACTCGGATGCCCCTCTGCAATATACTTCCTGGCCAGCTGACCTGCGGGCCCTGAGCCGCAAGTGAGTAATGGGTGCCATTTAATGTACTGCTGCCATGTAGGCCACATCCCACCTTTCCATTCTGGAATAGCTTCCTTGCCCTAGTTTCATTGATTCCAGATCAGTGTAGATATTCTCTTTAGTGATAGATAAAGGACAAGAAACTGAGAAGCAAAACAAACCACTTAGGGGAAATGTACAGTCTTCTTTCTTGTGGCGGCTTTCAAAGCAAGACTGACAGGTACCTGTCCAGAGTGCTTTATGGAGGTGGTTTTGAAATTTGGTTCCTCAGAGTATTGGGGAACTTAATTAAGGAAATTGGTAATGGTAGCAAAGGTTCCCTTGAGCATAAGCTTGTCCACTATTATTAGTCTTCCCCTGCAGTTATAAGCAGATGTTGAGATGTGTTCTAGTGTGCCACGAGACGTTGCCTGGTGTGCCGTGGGAGGGAGGCGGGCGAGTCGGGCGGCGAGAGGCGGGGCGGCGAGAGGCGGGGCGGCGGCGGCGGCGGCGAGGAGAGGCCGCCCAGCGCGGGGCTCTCGCCGTCTGCCTGCCTGGCTGCCTGCGTGGCGCTGACGTCACGGGGCTGTAACGTGCCCCACATAGGCACACGCGGGGCGGCGAGCGAGCTCCCTCCCACATCCCATCGCCGGCTCTGCACCAGGCGGTAGAGCTCGGCGAAGTTGCCGCGCTGGAAGGCCAGCAGCGCGCGCGCCTTGGCCAGGCTCTCGCCCGCCTGCGCCTCCAGGCACGGCGCCTCGGTGTCGGGCGGCAGCGAGCCCAGGAAGCGGCCCAGCCGGCCGGGGTCGCCCGCCTGCAGCAGCGCCTCGCACCCGCACGAGACCTGCTCCACCGAGAAGCGCGGCGAGCGCGGAGGATCGGGTGCGGCGGAGGCCAGCCCCGCGCTTGGAGAGGACGCAGCAGCCGTCGCCAAACCCGATCCTCCTCCTCCTGCTCCGCCGCCGTCCTCTGGCTCTCGGCCGGGAGGAGCCTGCGGCGACGGGGCGGGCGCCGAAGTTGGCAGAAGTTGGCGCGCCTCCTCGGCAGCGCCTTCGTCCTCCTCCTCCTGCCTCTGCTCTCCGGCGGCGGGGGTGCGCCGCCCTCCCCGGCCGGGGGGCTCGGCGGGGCCCGCGGGGAAGGAGGCCATGTTCGCGGCACGCGGGATCGCGGCCCCCCTCGCCCGCCTCCGGCCCGCTCCCCTCCCCCTGCGCGCTGCCCTAGCCGTGCGGGTCTCCTCCCCCTGCGCCGCCGTCCCCTTTCCACATCCTAGGAGCCGCGGTCCGCCTACCGCCCCCGGGCCGCGGCTCCCAGCCCGGGCTGGCCTCCGCCTCCTGGGACGCGCGCCCACCCCCGCGGCCCCCAAACTTCGGAGCAACTCTCCAGACGCTTCTCCCCCGCCTCGGTCTCCCTCCTTTCCACTTCTCTTCCCCCCTTCCTTCCCTCTTTCTTTCTCTTTCTCTCCCACCCGCCTTTCCTTCTATTAACTTTCCTTTCCCCTCCCTTCGTCCTTCCTACTTTTACTCCTGGGCTCCTCCCCCCTTTGCGCAGCCACAAATCAATCTCTCTCTCTTTTTTCCCCTCTCTCTCTTCTTTGCTCAGACGCAAAAAAGCGCCGCTTTTTGGAAATCCGGACTGCTGTCCCCGCTGAAACGATACTTTAAAAAAGGAAGAACCCACTGGCTCTTATTTCTGTTTAAAGCAGTAGATCCCGAACTCTTTTGGCCCACTGCCCCCTTGGTTCCACATCCCCCAGTGTCCCCTATGCTTACTCTATAGAAAGCATTACAGGGGTTAACGCGGCTCGCTAAGGAAGATATTAATAGAATTCTGCATTTGGGGGGAGACCCTAACAGTCATCTACCATTACCTTCTATGCTGTTACTATTTTTTATTTTTTTTTACATAAGTAAAAAGTGACCTTTCCCCATCTGGCATGGTGGTGTGCCTCGAGATTTTTTTCATGAAACAAGTGTGCCTTTGCCCAAAAAAGGTTGGGAAACACTGTTCTAGGGTGTGTGTTCAAATTGCACCAGGTCCAGCAGGCCTGGTCAGTGACTTGTTTAATCCACGAGAAAGTGCCCCGACATTCTTTGTAACATAATAAGAGCCAACAGGCCAGTGCAGTAGCTGTTCATTGAAAGTGGAACCCTTGAAAAGGAGTTGCTTTAAGACAGGGGTGGGGAGCCTGTGGTCCAAGGCCCATTATGCAGCTTTTGGCCTAATTTCACGAGGCTCTCAGCTTCATATGATTGGAGAAAAGAAGTCCTGAGGTAGAGGTGGTTTTAGGGTAGTGTGACTGGTGTGTTTGTACTGGGCACTGCTCTGCAGGGAGCACCAAAACAATGATGTAGATTGTGTGTAGAACAATTCTGTGACAGGCAGGGGGCGCCAGGTTTTAGCATCCAGGGCACTGCTGAAGTTTGAGGGCCCAAAGTCTGCCACTGCCGGAGTGGGGAAATGGGGACTAGGGGAAGGGCGAAATGGAGTGAGGAAGAGATAAAAGCCTTCTGAAAGTGATCAGTCTGCAACTCTGATAAGAGTGCTCTGTCCTCACTGCAGTAACCTGCTAGATAGGAAACAAGGTGAGAAGAAGAAGAGGGGAAAGGGATAGCCTTGTCCATCATTGCCTCTGGCCCTGACCCCACCTGGCATACCAAATAATATGAAGCCCTTGACAGAAAATGTTCTTCCCTGCCCTGGCTTTAGGCCTAGGGTTGCGGCTCTCTGCAGATGTGGTAACTGTGCCATCAGTAATGTTCTCTGTAGGAGGCAGTGGCACCCTACACACTGTGTTTCACAAATTGCCCTCAGTTGCAGTTCCCTGGTATGGTTTTTTTCTCCTAGTAACCTCCTGAGCTGGAGAACACCTTGCTACTTGTGCCACCACTATTACAGGTGGGCAAACCGTGACCTAAAAGAGATCCTGCCATGGGCTGGCTGAGTGTTTCTAAGGACTGGCTCATCCCTGGTTGCCTATACTTTGATTTCTCTGTATTTTTGCAGCTGAATGGGTGAGCCACCTCTCTTGTAGAGCATTATATGTGAGGTCATAGGAAAGTCTATTGTTTGTGGCAATAGATCTGTAATGGTTCCAATTGCTCAACTGCATGAATGATTAGGGCTATTGTTTTATGTTCACATTTCCTCTCTCTCTCTCTCTCTCTCTCTCTCCCCCCCCCCCCCGACAGTCGCAGTTTCATATTGTCATCGCTAGGCTTCACAGCTGTGGCCTTTGTAACAGGCTCCCTGGCTCTGTGGACACCAACTTTCCTGTACCGCTCACGCCTGGCCGCTGGCACTCTCCAGCCTTCTCCCTCAGGACATGCTTCTGACTCTGATAGGTGAGTTAGTAGCTGAGAAATCCCTTAGTCATGACATCAGTTCAGCTCTCTCTTGAGGAACACTTGGTTCAGTAGTGGAGGTTCACCACTGCTGTCTTTTGACACCTCTGTGTTTCTTAACTTTGAGCTGTTTGTAGTATAGGGGCTAAGAGACTGTCACAAATGGGGATGCCCCAAATATTGAATCTTGCCCCTTCTGTAAACTTGGTAGATGGCCTTGGCATGCTACTGTCTCTCATCCTCCCATCTGCAATGTGGGGTACCATATGTAAAGTGCTCTGAGCCTTCTCTGTGGTGCTTTTATGAATGCTTTGTATCATTATCTCTGCAGCCTCACCTTTGGCGTCATCACTTGCGTGACTGGTGTGCTGGGTGTCAGTGCTGGGGTGGAGATTTCCCGGCGCTGGCGCCGCACCAACCCTCGTGCTGATCCCCTGGTGTGTGCAACTGGACTGCTGGGCTCTGTCCCTTTCCTGTTCCTGGCAGTGGTGACTGCTAAGCAGAGCATCGTTGCCACCTACGTGAGTTCTCCCCAAGTTTCACTTGTTAATTTGGTACAGCCCCCAAGGGTGCTGCCAGCTTTCTTGTGGCAGTGTCCATGGTGTGGCATTGTGGGTACTGTTGCCTGTCCTACCACTGCCCATCCTGTGCTTTTTAAACTTTTGTACACTGCTTTGGAATCTTAAAAAATAAATAAAAGGATTTTTAAAACAAAAACAATGTCGTCTCTCCTCTTCACCCCTCCTTCCTCTGCAGGTATTTATCTTCATTGGTGAGACCCTCCTCTCCCTCAACTGGGCCATAGTGGCGGACATCCTTCTGGTGAGACTGTGGGGAAGAGGCAGTGTGCAAAACTCTAGACTTTTATTTCAGTTGCAGAATTGCACCGTTCTCGTTTGCCTTCCCACGTGGTGGTAGCCAGAGAGACTCAAGTAGAGTGAGTCAGCCCTGGGTTTAACTGTCCATTGACAGTGGCTTTGTTTGTTTTTTTAAACTTAGTTCTGCTGAGAATTCACAAGATATCCTCAGGCAAATCTCTTTCCCTCTAACGAAACAATAATGCTGGCCTACTCTAGGGAGGAGTTAGAAGTATTGCTGCGAGTGTGCACCTTGGGCATCCCTCCAGGGCTCCTGTGCCCATGGCAGATAGCAGGGTAGTCAGCGTAGTGTTTCTTACAGCTCCAACATGATGGTTTCTCCTCCCTTGTGCTGCCCAAATCCCTGTCCCATTTTGGCTGTGCCACTGTGTCATAGATCCACTGGCGCAACGGTTCACGGGTATATATTTATGCCACCACAATTGCTATCTGGCATGGCATTTGGCATGGTGTACAGGACTGCACCTCTGTGCTGCTTTTCTACAGAGGACTACATGAGCTTCTGGGGGCTTCTGGGCTCCTTTTGTCAAATGTGCTAAGTGAAACCCTCAGTTGGCAAGAGTGTGTATGACACCAAAGTGGGTATAGAATAAAAAAGGAGCAAGGTGAAGGGCAACCAGAAGAGGCTTAGCAATGTGTGTGAGAGAGTGGCTTGTAATGGCTTTATAGTTATGTGGGGAAGCGACCTTAAAACTTGTTCGCTGTCCAGCAGAGGGCACCAGTAAATCAGCTGTATTCTCTTCCCAGTATGTTGTCATCCCCACACGCCGATCCACAGCTGAAGCTTTCCAGATCCTGCTGTCGCATCTTCTGGGTGATGCTGGGAGCCCTTATCTCATTGGCCTGGTAAGAGCTTGGACAGCGAGAAGGCACTTCTGGTCAGCTTTTCAGAGCTTGCGACTTCCGAGGCATTCTACCCATCAAGCAGCTCCTCTTTTCTCTGCCATCAGCCACTTGCTCTTTCCCAGCATTTAGATCATACCTTGCAAGGCTCACACAGCTGTATTTCTTGGGCCGAAAGAGCCCAGGCTGATCCTGCAATATTTGTTCAGGCCGAGGGAAATTGATGCATTGCAACCTTGTGCAATATTAACCTCCCAGGACCTAAGCTCAGCTGTTGAAGCTCTGCTCTGGGGTGATCATCTTAAGAACAGACTGTTTTCCATTTGGGAGCAGGGCCTTCTTAATAGCGACTCTGGAGCTAAGACTCTCTAAAATATTTCTTATATGTTGCCTGCCAAGCTGTGTTTGGAGGCATTTAAAAATGCGTTTATCTTGCCAGGTCTTATGAGAGTTAACTGGAAGTGTGCTCTCAAATTTGTATTAAATATTTTTTTATTTTTTTTATTATTTTTTTTATAAATTTTTTATTAGTTTTCCAAACATGTAGTATAAACAAACAACAAAACAAAACAAAACATACACACAAATAAACATGTACAATTTCATAAACTCATTCTCCTTCACCTTGTTTCCCGGACTTCCCCATACCTCCCTTTTTCTGCATCCTTATTTTTCCCTTTTAACAGCAACCCTTCATTTCATTATTAATTCATCTTCATTATAGCTCCTTTAAATTTATGATATACAGCTGCAATTCTCTGTTTCTTAACACCATAAATAAATATTTTTTTATTTTATATGCTTTTACTGTGTGGCTGTGAAAAATGTTAAAATAGTTCTATTGCCTGTCAACCACTTCGTAGTCATTCTTGTTAAAAGCCAGCATCAGTATAAAGAATACATACAGCATTAGCGGATACCCTGTTTTCTACATGTTGGAAAGAGTTTTGTTGGATTAGAACTACTGCATCTCCGATTCCTTTAAGCAAGTTTTGAGCAACAGCACACTACAGACCAGGAGAGAGAGAGAGAGAGAGAGAGAGAGTGGTTGAGAGGTAGGGATGGGTTTTGCCACTCATTGCCTCAGCAATGCTATGTGCTAGGAAATAGCACAAGCAATAAATAACACCACCAATTTCCAATTCTGCCAGCTTTCCTATTGGTTGTGCCGCTCCACTTGACACTGCATAATGGTGTGCATGTTCTTTTGCTGAATCCCTTTTCCAGATCAGTGACCGAATCCAAGCTGATCGCCCCCAAACATTCCTGTCGCAGTTCCGAAGCCTTGAATATGCGCTTATGGTCTGTGCCTTTGTGGGAGTTATTGGTGGCGGCTTCTTCCTGGCTACGGCTTGCTTCATCCAGGCAGACCGTAAGCGCACAGAGCTGTATGTACAAGGTAAAACCTCTTCCCTCCATTGGCCAGTCAGAGTTGAGATGTTAAGGTCTGTGAAGCCTGGCACGGAGCTGCTGCACCAAACATGCACCCCAGTAGCAAAAACGATTGTGGGTTGCTTTAGTAGTGGCTCTGTGCCACGAGGAAGCCACTCATCTCCTGTGGCACGATAGAACTTTCCTGGGAAAAGAGGGTGGTCTGGTGTAACAGCCAGTTATGAGTTAGGATGGAAAGGGAAGGCTTCCCACAAATGTGGGTGTCCAGGGAGCTTCCCTGTGTGATTTTAAATTGCCCAACAAGTGTTTGTCAGGGGCAGCAATTGTTATCACCTCACTTTGGAAGGCATCTTTTTGATTTAGAATGCCTTGTCCCCCACGAAGAAACCTTTTTGGGCAATTACATGAGCAAGCTTTTGGCTTCTGCCAGAGTTTCACCTCATCACTTTGCTGTAGTGGCTGCAGCTGAGTAGCGACAAGAGCAATTTCTGAGTAGCAGGGGTGGCACATGTCTTAAGTCTTGATAAGTGTTGGCAAGTGTGGATGACCATGTAGGAAATCAAGGGAGGACAGCCAATCGGGAGCCTCCTTTCCTCTAACGTGAGGTTGGTGCAGCCTCTTTGGACAAACACCTCTGACCCTGTCATGCTCTTTCTCCCTGCAGGGCAATTTCACGAGTCACCTGAAGGCGAAGATCGCATTGTTGTTCCTCAGGGTGGGCGACCCACCAAAGTCCCTGTCTCTAGTGTCCTGATCTGAAGCCCGCCCCACTTGGTTCCTTCAATCTGGGAAAGAATGATGGACTTGTGATCAGCTGAGCATGGCGCTCACAGGGAGATGAGGACTCTCTGAATGGACCCAGGCGGGTGGTTTTGTGGGCAACAGGAGAAGATCAGTTTTTTTGTGTCTGTGTTTCTGGGATTTTTATAAAGCACTAACTTTATCAAGAGTCATGTGGTGTTTTTCAGATGAACAGGATGAAACAATGAAACCCTTCCCCCATCTCTGCCTTCTACTTTAATGGTTTTTCAAGGGTTCCCAGAGGCTTTTTCAATGGTGTTCCCAATATATGTGATTTCACTTAACATTGTGGTGCCTCAAAACGTAACCCCTCGTATATGGGGAGTTGCCTGTATGTCACAAGAGGTCTAGGAGAAGGCTAGTAAGGGGTAAACTGGGGCATATTAGCTGTTGCAGCAGGAGAGTTTTCAAAAGCTTTTATGCAGGAGAAAAAACTAGAAGTGGCTCTAACTCAGCTTTTAATAAATGTTAGGGAAGAAATCAGAAAAAGTTTTTTTTTTATTCAAGAAACCTCTGCTTTAGTAGTATTAACTACATCTTACTGACTTCAGAACAGAGTTAGTCATGAGGGATACTTTTAAAAATAAAAAAATCCTGAAGCTTCTGTTCTGGCCTATTTGGTGGCCCAAAGGTTCTTGCCTGTTAAGAGTGTGTTGTCTTACTTTGAAGCGTCAAGAACGTGTGCAGTCAGAAATTGGGTGTAGTCAAAAGTTTCTCTTCGAGATCCAGAGGATAAGGTGCCTTGTTTTCTGTGTGTTTTTGCTTCTGACTTACATTCTTGCTAAAAACCATCTCAGCTAAGGAAGTAGTGCAGTGAGGTGATGTCACACATTTGGTGGATAAAGGCTGGCTGTTTTGCACATGCACGTCATCACTTGATGGCTATCGGTTGAGGCGGCGGGGGGGGGCAGTGGCGTAGCGTGAGGGGTGCAGGGGGGGCCGGCCGCACCGGGTGCAACATCTGGGGGTTAGGGCTAGGGGGCGCAAATCCACGGGTTAGGGGGCGCAAATCCACGGGTTAGGGAGCGCAAATTACTTGCCTTGCCCCAGGTGCTGACAACCCACGCTTCGCCACTGCGGGGGGGGGGCATTCATTTGTGAAATCTGCCTAATTGCGAAGTTGGAAGGCATTTTTTGTGACCCTGTAGCCATCTGACTTGCACCCCCCTCATAAGTGGTTTGGCTCACGTGCTTGGTTCATCAAGTGAAGCTGCATTGTGCTGCAGTGACCTTGATGTGATACAAATTATCTTGAAATTATTTCTTCTGTTTTCAGATTGTGGTGCACCGGGATGTAAAACCAGGTGTCTTCTGTAGAGACATTCCAGTGGAATAGCTGGGTTGTTGCTCTTTGCTGCAACAGATTCAGGGCCCAATCTAGAAGAGCCTGTGTGAGATAGATAGATCTGTCAGCTGAGGATAACATGCCATGCCACTAAGGAAGTGAGCTCTGGCCCATGAAGGTTTATGCTACAATAAACATACTGGTTTTTGAGGTTCTTTCTTTCAGATCAAAATGAGTTTCTTCATGGGTTGCTTGGGTATGGTTTATTACTGGTTTTGAAAGATGTCCCACCACCACCTATAGAGGCCCTTCTACGCTTCGAAAGAGATGTTGGCTTGAAGTCAAAGGTGTGTGTGATGATTTGCACGCCTGTTAATCCTTGAGGAATGAATGGTGATCTGTAGCATTTGCAGGTTGCAAAGAATGGAAATGAGATTTGAATTGCCCTTGTGGAGGGCTTGGAGGAAGAATGAGAGTCTCTATTGAGATTGTCTCTAGTACAGTGCTAACTCGGGTTAAGAACTTAATTTGTTTTGGAGGTCGGTTCTTAACCTAAAACTGTTCTTAACCTGAGGTACCACTTTAGCTAATGGGGCCTTCTGCTGCCACCACGCCGCCAGAGCACAATTTTTGTTCTCATCCTGAAGCAAAGTTCTTAACCCAAGGTACTATTTCTGGGTTAGCAGAGTCTGTAACCTGAAGCGTCTGTAACCTGAGGTACCAATGTACTTCATATCAGCCGTGTTTCTTTGCCGGTTGGGTGGGGGACAGCAGACATACATTGTTTTTTCCACTGCTCAATGCACAAAGAGAGGCTGGTGAATCTCTTTCCCATAGATTTATTTCATGTCGGCAGAAGTGCCAAATGCCTTTTCCTGGACTGTACCATCTTTCTTGAAGAAGAGCAGGGAGAGGGTTGTAAACTTCCCTGCACATTGAAAAACAGCAGGTTGAGAGGTTGGGTCAAACCCATCTTCCCATTTGGGTGTGTTTTTGTGTGTGGAGTTCTACAAGTAGTATGTTTAACGTGCTTTGCAAGCCAGGGTGCTGTGAGGTAAGGAGAAGTGGGTTTCTTTTGATTTTCTGTTTCCCATAAAAATAGATGCCCCCCCATCTCACATTATATATAAATGGGGCACATATCTGGATAAAATGCACATGCCTCACTGCATCCAGCTTGGCATGGAGATGTCATTTGTTCTTTTATGTATGGGAAGGCTCCCCACCCTCAGAAAAGCATTGAAATCTGCAAATTGCGCACACACCCCTGCAGCCTGAAATGGTACAGTCCAGAAAAGGCTTCACACTTGATTCTACTGAGCATATAAAACTTGTCCTCTGGTATATCTGCATACAGGGCCCTTTCTGTCCTTGGGAGAGAACTTATGAGTTACACATTTCTCAGAGCACGTTCCAGGGTGTCCTGCAGTTGGGAGGAAGCAGGTAGATCTGGAACAGACTAAGAATTGGCGAAGTCTGAGAGGCCCCCTTGATGTCTGGCTGATATCTCCAGAGCTTCTGAATGCGACAGATGTACCAAGATGATGCGCCTTCTCTTCCTCCCCCAAATGTCATAATTTAGTGCACCTGCCCTTCGACTTCCTGCTGGCGGCTGTGGTGCTTCCTTCCTGCCCAAGCAATCGAACAGCAGCACCGTCTCAGCCACAGCAGAGAAAAGAAGGCTCCATCCAGGCGTGAACTGGGAACCCCAGATGTGAGTTTTCACTGATGTGAGTGAGGAAGAGGAGGTGGAGGCAGTGGTGGTGCATGAGGAGTACTTAGGTGCTGACCCTTGTCCTGGCAATATATCCTAGGTGCTTGGGTTCTGGTCCCTGGGTCCTGTGGTGGAAGGAGCTGAGTTCCAGCTTCTGGGATTGTGCAGGAAGGAATGGCAGTGCAGATGGCTGGGCTGAGGGGGGTGGGATTCTGGGGGGAGGCGGAAAAGACTTTTCCATGTGGGTGTTAGCTTGGAGTCTGACTTTTTTCCTCCTGAGTGTCCCAGTGAGTGTAGCGTAAACAGTGACCAGGACCACCGACTCAAGTTTGTAAGAATTCAGTTTTGACACTGCAAAATATAGAAATAATTGAGAATTGAAATTGATGTGTTGGAGGTCATTTGGACCTACACTAAAGCTGTGTAGTCATACATCAATAAACCGTTTAGTTCATTTTGGCTATAATTTTGGGTCCGTGGCCCTTGTTGCTGGCTAGGCTGTGCCCACTGCCCCACCAGGGTGTGTAGGAATGCAAATTCAAACCCAGATGAGCAGCGGGAAGCGATAAATTGTTTTTCTTCATTGCACGAAGTGCTTCTTTTCCTGCCCTGTGCCTCCCCCACCCCCTGTTCTGATCGCAATCTTTTTTCTGTCTTGCTATTGCATTCACTCTCTCCTTCCCTCCCTCCTATTTATCCATCTCTGACACTGGGTTCGCTTTGAAGGGTGTGGGGCATAATAAACAAGTAACGCTACGTAGAAGAGGGCAAAAGAAATAGAACAGACACAGCCACGTAACAACCTCCCTCGAATTTTGGCCTGGCACCCTACACCCCCAACCAACTTTCCCATCCCTTCGTTTTGCCATTTTGCTCCAGTTCCCTCCAACAAGCCAGTTTCCACCCAGTAACGGAACCCGTGGTTTGTGGTCACTTTGGCTTGTTGCCAGCGCTCCAATCAAGTGGAGTAGAAGTGGGGAGACCGTGTGTGTGTGTGTGTGTGTGTGTGTGTGTGTGTGTGTGTGTAAGGAGAGAGTTTGGCATTATTCAGAGGTGTCAAACGGTAGGTTTCTCGCAGGCCCCATCCCTTTCCCTGCCCCCTCCCACCTACTGAATCATGAGTGGCGCCTAGAAGGTCTCGGCTAGCTTCTCTTCTCCCCCTCCCCCCAAGCAAGACATTGCAACCTTGCAGCTGCAGAGTTGCAGCTGCAAATTCCCTCCCACGGCACCCACAACACAGAGCGAGGCTTTTTGCGCTGGCGCCCAAATCCGGCTGTGGGTTGTTGTCACTGGCGTGAGTCACCCTTGCTCCCACTGCTGTTCCCACACTCTTTTTTTTTTTTTCTATGCTGGGGGAGGGGTGCATCAAAGAACCTTCCCTTACAACCTCAGGCTTCTGGAACAGGTTTTCTCTGTGTAGGAAATGTGGCATGGAATGTAGTATCTGGTCAAACATTTGGATGGTTGTGTGTGGAGGTTTGTTTTAACAACATTTATACCCCAATTAGGAGCAGCAGAGGCAGTTGCTTTAGACTGAATCAGACTATTGATCCATCTTGCTCATTACTGTCAACACGGACTGGCAGCAGCTCCCCAGGGTTTCCCAGCCCTACCTGGAGATGCCTGGGATTAAATTTGGAATTTTCTGCAGGCAAAGCAGATTCTCCACCGCTGAGATACAGTCGTACCTTAGAAGTCGAATGGAATCCATTCCGGAAGTCCATTTGACTTCCAAAACATTCAGAAACCAAAGCGCGGCTTCTGATTGGCTACAGGAAGCTCCTGCAGCAAAATCAGAAGCCCCGTCGGATGTTCGGGTTCCAAAGAACTTTCGCAAACCAGAACACTCCCGGTTTTTGATCGTTTGCGAACCAGAACCTTTGACTCCCAAGGTGTTCGGCAGCCGATGTACGACTGTACTGCCCTTCCTCAATAGTAGTAAAAGCTCTGAGAATTTGACAAGAAATTTTAAAATTAGCAATCAATAACTAGCAATTGAAAACAACTGAAAACATCAAAAAAAATTAACTGTAAAAGGGATTAAAACATGGCAACATCTATCTGTCTGGATAGGCTTGCCAAAACAAAAACGTTTTACGCAGGTGCAAAAAAGAGGTACAAGGAAAGGCAATCCTGCATGTAACCTGCTCCCAAATGCTTAAGGGCTCTATATATGAATAGTAATACTTTCACTTGGCCTGGTAACAAGTGAGAATTCAGTGCAGGTCTCTGAGCAAAAGTACTATATGCCGAGAGGGTCTCATTCCTGCCAGTAACTGTGCTGCACTAACTGAAGTTTGCAGGTTCAGTTCAAGGGAAACCCCACATAAAGTGCATTGCAGTAATCCAATCTTGAAGTCACCAGTGCCTGAATTACTGTAAATTCTCCCAGACCAGGAATGATCAAAGCACATTTTGTACCATACGCAGCTGGCAAAAGACACTTCTGGTGCCTCAGGACATGCCAACACCCAAGTATAGAAGTGTCAGCTCCAAGTACCTAGCTCTATGATGTTCTTTCATTTACGATGGAGATGTCTCCACTATACCTCCTAACCCAGCAATTTAATCCATGTAAGTTTCTAGTCCACAGCAATCTTTTTTAGTTGGAGTACCTTGACAAAAAAAGAGATGAGGGTGGCGCTGTGGGTTAAACCACAGAGCCTAGGGCTTGCCGATCAGAAGGTCGGCGGTTCGAATCCCCGCAACAGGGTGAGCTCCTGTTGCTCGGTCTCAGCTCCTGCCAACCTAGCAGTTTGAAAGCACGTCAAAGTGCAAGTAGAAAAATAGGTACCGCTCCGGCGGGAAGGTAAACGGCGTTTCCGTGCGCTGCTCTGGTTCGCCAGAAGCGGCTTAGTCATGCTGGCCACATGACCCGGAAGCTGCATGCCGGCTCCCTCGGCCAATAAAGCGAGATGAGCGCCGCAACCCCAGAGTCGGTCACGACTGGACCTAATGGTCAGGGGTCCCTTTACCTTTACCTTACCTTGACAAAACGTATGTCCATTTTTAAATTATTTTGTTTACATCTGTCTCTCTTCCCTGGAGCTCAAGGAGGTGTGGGGAGGGTTCTAGCCAATCTCCCATCCAGACCCAGGCCAGTTTGGCTTCAGCACAGTGGCTGCCTTAGGTGCCTTCAGACTAGGGGTGAGGGAGAAATCCAATTGAGTTGGCATTTCTCTGTTGGCATTAAGTGAACCTACCTAATCCACACTTTCCGAAGCTGTACATGAACTGAAATAAAGCCGTCTTTTGAAATTTGCACTCTTCTGAATTTTGCAATGCAATTCTCTAACCAAGCAGTGCATAACAAAATGCATATACTGGGGCAGTGTGTGCATTTAATATAATAATAATAATAAATTTTATTTATATCCCGCCCTCCCCAGCCGAAACCGGGCTCAGGGCGGCTAACAACAATAAAACAGTACAAAAGTACAACATAAACAACATTCTAAAATGATTCATTATAAAAATTAATTTAAAAGGCATGTACAAGGGAACATGAATTGTGTTAGGGGAATTTGCATTGCAAAACTATGTATATTTAGGGAAATGAGTGAGTGCTCCACGCACAAACATACACTGCTCCTTTCAGGCAGCTGGGGATGGCAAAACCCTATCAATTTGGGTTTCTCTCTTTTTCTCATTTTTAAAGTCTTATGTTCAGATCTTCACATTAGTTTGCATTTTTTAAAAAAAAATCCTCAAGAAAATTGATCAGCATTTTAGTGGAAATGTCTCCTAACAGACACCTCTGAAAGCAATTCTGTTCGCTAACTTCCCTATCTATTCCCCATCATGGTCACTTTTGTGGCAAACCATGACTCCGTTGTCTGTCTGTTGTCTCTTGCTCAAATCCAGAATGTGTATACCTGCCTTGGCTTTGTGAATTAGAATCCTTCTGAAAGGTACTGTGGATCATAGCCTAGAACTCCATTTGTATCTCCAAGCTTGTATTGAATTTGGGGGGCCCCTCCTTTCTAAAGCCTTCTTGAACCACCCACTCCAACCATTTTCTTTCGGCCCAGCCTCTTGGAGATTTCTTGTGCATCCTGCTGCTGCATGCCATTAAGCGGCCTGTCAATTGGGTTATTTCCACAGGACCACTGCTCGCTCTGCTGTGCTCCCTCCTGTTATCGCCTCCCTGGCTGATCTGTGGGGATCTCTGTGGTCTATCAGTAATGGTGGGATTAGCACATGCATTTAAAAGAGAGCTCTCTCTGAGCTATTGATTGCCTTCCAGCTGCAAATTCATAAGGGGAACAATGTTGCGTAAGGCTCAGTATCTCTGTGCACACAGGGCAATGGTGAGGCCCTACAGGCCATGTTGTTCCATCCTGAGCGAACAGAGTATTCGGCTAGAATGTTTCCCTAGAGCCAGCCTACCCGCAGAGTCAAACAGCAACTTTTTGGGACCCAAATCCCCCAGAACACAGGCTGGTGCAGAGGAAGGGGGCAGCCAAGGTCTCGGAGGGCTAAGCCAGCTGGGGGGCCCTGAAAGACTTAAGGTGTCATGTAAAAAACGCCCTGGACCTCTCATCCGACTAGGGTCTCTTGCCCCGGCCTCAGACAAGCTATTTGCAGGCCTGCTGGGGCACCTGCCTAAACTATATAGGTATCATGGAGATAACTCCCAAAATTGTAGCAAAAAGTTATCTCCCCCTCTTTTTTTCTTTGCTTCCACAGATGGATGCCAGCCATTGGCAAAACTGGGATTCTTATATCTGTTTATACCCTAGAAGTTTGGGATAAGTAGTTAGTCTAGCTAGAGCAGAAAAGCACAGTGCACAAGACTATCAGTGAGTTGCTTACTGAAATGCCAAAATGAAATTTATATACATTGGCAAAACATTCACTGAGACAACATGATGTACTACTCAAATAATAAAAAATGAGGGATAAATAAAAAATTTAAAAACTTTTAAATTTGACCGAGACAGAGGTTTTATCCATAGCGCCACCCGCGTCCCCTTAGCAGGCAGGTAGAAGGCTGTAAAAAGGATTCCCTGACAGGAAATTTGAAGAGCATTTTTGTAGTGCAGGCCTGGCAAACTTCGTGTTTTTTAGAATCTACTTCGGATTTTGCTAGAACCCCACAATTCACTGGCCAGAGGCGGACACAAAACAGTAGCTTGAGTCAGAGTCAGACACAAAATAGTGGCCAGTGGGGTGGAGCCAATTATTTATTGAACCCCATGAGCCATACAGTGGGATGACCTTGCATATATAAATAAAAATTAGCATGTGGCGTAGAACGGGGATTCTAACAACCTAAATTTGGAGGGGGGAATCTTTTTGTTAAATGTTGTCGGGAGTGAAAAACACTTGCCAATCTATTGCCAATCATTCCACGGTCTACCAGTTGAGATGTCCACACCTGCTAAGGCTTTGGCCTGAAAAAGAACAACCAAGACACTCCTTCCTCTGCCTGTTGGATACTGAATGTTCAAGTTCCCATTCAGGAAGAGAGAACAAATGGCTCTCTGCTGCCCTGTCTCCTAACATTCCAGCATTCATCGGGCCTAGCAAAGGGGCTACCACATCACAATGTAAGCAAGCCCAAGCTGTTCTCCCCACACTCCGCTATCTTTTGTGACATGCTGCTGCTACATAGTGTGAAAATCCACCCAAGCACTGTCAAAACTTGAAATAAATTCTGAATAAGACATCTCAATAAGCTGAATTTTCTGGGTGGATAGGGACCGGGACAAACACTTATATTTGGTTTCATTATCTGTTTAGCACACACCGAGAACTTGAATTTGGCTCTTTCCCCACAGGGCTATTGACATGTTGTGCCGCTAAGCTGCTCAATGCTGTTTTTCACCTCGGAGTTTGCACCTGCCCTGACTCCAGGATACTGCTACTGTCCCCCTTGCAGGTGGCATGGATGCCTCGCACACGGGTGACATCTTCTGGGTGCTGGCATTTACTGTCCCACTTCTGGTGATTCTACTGGTGCTTTGCATTGACTGCCGGGACCCTGAATTAGACAGTTAAGTCTCTTCTGCCCTCCCCAAACTTCCTTTCCCCAAGGAGCAAACAGTTCCCGACTTCTCCATTCATTGCTCTCACCCCAGTGAACTTCTTAATTACATTGGTGTCTCTTTCCCTCTCTCACAACAGCACAATCTGTTGATGATTACCAGGACAAGTAAGTGACTGGCCGGGGTTTAATTTGGGGGTAAAATGGGGGGGTGCAAAACCAGAACTTGGGGAGGTTTGGAAAATGGATGCATGTTGTAAGGTAGCCAGATGCAATGGGCAGCTTCTACCCCAGAAGGAAAAGGTGCATTTCTTAACATTTCTCACCCCAACTCTATTATACAATTCCCAAAGTGGCAAAGCACATGGATACTGCCCGAAGGCCACTTTTTGATACAGTGGAGGAAAGGGAAATTGTTTGTGGTGTTAGCATGCTACTCTTTCAAGTGCTTTGCATGCAGAAGGTCCCAGGTTCAGTCCCTGGCATCTCCTAGTAGGGCTGAGAAAGACTCTGATCTGAAACCTTGTACATACAGCCCATGTCTGTCAGTGTAGACCAGGGATAGGGAACCCTGTAGCCTTCCAGATGTTGCTAGACTATAATAGCCCCTGGCCATTTGGAGGGTGGGGCTTGAGGCCAGTGGACGTTGGGAGTCCCAACAGTAGCTGGAGAGCCCTTTGTTCCCCATCCATGGTGCAGGCCGTTTTCTACAGAGTGAGATGGACCAATGGCCTGGCTCTGTAGAAAACAGCTTCTGATGTTTCATCCAAAACCTGGAAGGGGAGAGTTTCTTGTGCTGTTTTGGGGAGCAGATTGATATGTCTCTCAAGCATGATTCCTGTACTGTCCATGAAGAGAAGAATGATTAATGCATTGCCCCCACAGGCCTTCAAGTAGTGCACGTTCGAGTTCAACCTTCAAGTTGATACGTCCTCCCTGTGAGTAGCTGCCCATTCAGTGCTATTTTAAAATTGAGGTTTTAAGAAAGGCTGGCTTGTCTCCTGCTTTATCTGCTCTTGGTGGTTGTTGTTGTGTTATTATTTCTACTATTATTACTACAGTGGTACCTCGGGTTACATACACTTCAGGTTACATACACTTCAAGTTACAGACTCCGCTAACCCAGAAATAGTACCTCGGGTTAAGAACTTTGCTTCAGGATGAGAACAGAAATTGTGCGGCTGCAGTGTGGCGGCAGTGGGAGGCCCCATTAGCTAAAGTGGTGCTTCAGGTTAAGAACAGTTTCAGGTTAAGTACGGACCTCCGGAACGAATTAAGTACTTAACCTGAGGTGCCACTGTACTATTTATTACCATCACTGAAGACTTTGGGAAGCTGATACAGCCATGTGGGGTCTCATTGAACAAATCTGCCCCACTGTTCTGCCTCAACACCACCACCACCTCGACAAGCCACAATCTTACAGGATTCCTAACAATATCCTCTGCTCCAAACTTACAACTTTTAGATCTGAAATGCCATTGATGGCTATGCTCTGCCTCTACAGTTGGAGGCAACAATGTTTCTGAATACCAGTTGCTGGAAACCACAGGAAGTGAAAGCACTATTATGCTCAAATCCTGCTTTTGGATTTCCCACAGGCATCTGGCTGACCACTTTGTGAACAGGATGCCAGACTAGATGGGCCATTGGCCTGATCCAGTAGGCTCTTCTTATACTCTTAAATTCAACAAGGCATGGTCTTTTGACTCATTGCCAGTCAGAAGCAAACTACATGTGATACTAATTTGTGAGAAAGTCAGATTTTTTTGTTTATTTAATAGCCATGAGCTGCTGTGCATGTGACTCCCCTCTCCAAATTTTCATTGGGAGCCCCCTCCCTCAGAATAATATAATATATGTGGTGAGGGGAGGGGAGGGGGAGCCTATTTCCTTACTTATTTTATTAACAAAACCCAACTTCCACTTAGCGGTTTTCCTAAAACCTTACCACTGCCAACATTTAATATCACTTATACCCTTTGCACCTTTAACACACCAATAATCCTAATGGTAACTCTGCGATGTAGGCGTGGTCCGGAGTTACTATATTTAACAAAGGTATTAACATCTACGTATTGCAAGCTTCTATATGCACCAGCTTATGTGGTAACTTTAATATACAGTAGTACTGTCTTTTTAGATGGTTATATACTGTACTAATTTGTTAGTGTTACTTTGATTCCAAAAGCTAACTTTGTACTACTATTAGAGCTTTGAGAAAGTGGTTAGTTACCCCATTAAAACACTTTTGCCAGATTGCCCTTGTATTTACTTCATCCTGGTTGTGCCTCACCAACACTATAACTGAGGACTTTCACTGAAGCCTTTGTTTTAACCCCTACTGACATACTGAGAAGCACATGTCTACTTTTACTGTACTGTCATACCTCGGGCTACAGAGGCTTCAGGTTGTGTTTTTTCGGGTTACAGACCGCCGAAACCCGGAAGTACCGGAACGGGTTACTTCCGGGTTTTGGCGATTGCGCATGTGCAGAAGCGCCAAAACGCAACCTGCGCATGCACAGACGTGCAGACACAGGTTGTGAACGCTGCAGGTTGCGAACGTGCATCCCGCATGGATCACGTTCGCAACCCGAGCATCCACTGTACTGGAATCTATACTCTTGCTTTCCTTCCAGACACCAGAGTCCAGCAGCCAAAAGTGTCATTCACATCTGCCCTCTTGGCAGAGGCGGAGCTAGCTGCTCTGGCACCCGGAGCAGTGCACATACTGCTAGCCGGGCCTGCGGTGAGTGTCCCAGGGGGCGGGGGGCGGTGTCACCTCCCCTCAGGGATGACACCTGGGGCGGACCGCCCCCACCACACCCCTCTTCCTCTGCCAATGCCTCTTGGTGCTGTAAATGATGAGTTGTTCCTCTTGGCTCTTCAGCCTAAGCCAAGTGATTCACCTGACTTACCCCAGCCAATCTTTGGCCACTCTGCCTTCCTTTCAGGTCTTCTTCTTTCCTCTTCCGTGATCCAGCCTGGACTGAGCTCCTTGACTGGCCAGCACCCACCTTTACAGTCCCCCAGTCTAGCCCCAGCCAATCACGCTGTCTAATTAAACATTCTAAACCTGCAACCACCAACCAGAATATGCGTATCTTCTATCCTTCTTTTGCATACTGAGAGTTCCATCTCCAGCCCCTCCTCCACTGTCAGTTAAGGTCCCCCACTGACAGTTAAACCAGCTTTTACCTGAACCAGAAAGAAGACTTCCCCCACCAAACACACTGCAGTGTACATCAGAATATAAATGGCAAAGAAAGCACACCACTCAATACACATTGAAACACTGGTGAGGTCTCCAGGCTGATAGCAGACTAAGACTGATGGACATTTGTTGGGGATCGAAACCGGGAGGGGGGGGGTTGGGAATCCAAAGGGCGTACTACTATATTCTGTTTCTTTTTTATTCTGTTTTGTTATTAGTATGAAAATTGGGGAATTCGTGGAAGGGAATTTGGGTCGACTTTAGAAAAAGGTTTTAAGAATGAGCACTGATATACAAATATTGATGTTTATAAGTTAAAATTGGTTTCTCTAAAATGAATTAAATATAAAAAGGTTAAAAATTGGGGACAAGAACTTGTTGAATTAACAATTTGAATTGGAATACAAGAAGGGGAGGGATGAGGAAGTCAGGGAAATATGTTATTGAAAATAAGGATTGTAAACTTTATGTGTTTTTAACTTTTTTGTTTTTTTCTTTTTTGACTTTTTAATGTATTAAGATGGAAAATCCCAATAAATATCTTTTAAAAAAAAGAAAAAGAAAGAAACACTGGTGAAATGAGCAGGATTTCTTCACAACAGTGAAGGGGAAAGCAATTTTAATTGGGGTTGTAAACTTCTCAAACTACTGCAGCCCTGATTTATGTATTGAGGGCTCCTGTAACTTTTACAACTTCTTAAAAACTTTTGAAAAACTTTCCTACCAGATGCCCATGGCTGCCCATAAAAACATATTCCTTTATGGTTTGCAAAACAAAACTAAAATACATCATAATTTTAAAACATTTAAAAATGCACTAACGCAGCGTAAAAAATTGGAGGAAAATGCGATCCGTTAGGAATTTACCAAATGCCGCTTATACCATTAGAGCTCAGATCTTGTGTTGTTTTAAAATTCAAATTGTTTTTAAAGGCCTGGATGGATAAAAGCAAATTTCTCCCCTTGTGCCAAAAAGGCCACAAACCTGATGGTAAGCAGCTCTCTCTGGGGAGGCCCTTTTGGAGCAGAGGTGCCACCACCAGAAAGGCCCTCTCCCTAGAAGCTGCCCCCTCCTGTAGCCTGGCAGGGCCAATGAGGTAGGGCCTCTGGCTCTGAAGAGAGGAACTTAAGGTTTGAGTGGGTGTGCATTTGGGAGAAGACAACCTTTCAATTTATCTGGTCCTCCCAAGCCATTAAAGACTGGAGTGTGGCCTTTGTGCTGCTGCTGCTTTTTGGGGTGGGTGGGGGATGGTGGGCATGGGAGGTGAGCCAAAAGCTGGGATCTCATGCAATCCTCTCAGGTGATGGCATCTGTGTTCTTCTCTTTCTTCAACCTTTCAGCCCCACCTTGGCCTGCTGTTTCATCCCAACCAGACATGTGGAGGTAAGCAGTCCCTGAACAATTTGCGAGCTGTTTACTGAGCATCCGTCCATCCAGGCATCTCCAACACCACACACTTCTGTTTTGAGCAAAGAATACGCTGGTTTCTATGAGTGAGCACATGTGCTTGAAGCCTTGCCCTCTAGTACAGTGGTACCTCAGTTTTCGAACAACTCCGCTGACGAACATTTCGGTTTTCGAACGCCGCAAACCTGGAAGTAAATCCTTCGGTTTTCGAACACGCCTCGGAAGTCGAACATGCCACTGCTGAGTGCAAGATCCTGAGGCCTAGATGTTGGCTATTGAGTTTTCGATTTTCAAACGTCTCAGAACTCGGAATGGTCTTCTGGAATGGATTATGTTCGGAAACAGAGGTACCACTGTATGTCTGCACACAAGCAAGTGTATTTTGCATGTGGGGGAACATCAGCACATCAGTCACCGCTGGTTTGTAAAGCTGTATGGGTACAATGACCGCTCCCCACATCAAATGGAGGTGCCTTTTGTGTGGTCGTGCGCAGCCCCCTGGATCCCAGTGTGGCTCCCGGTAGTACGGGCTGGCTTTGCCCTCCCCAGGCTGGATACCTGGAGGTCTCTGCCTACCTCAGCCAAGCGCCCAATCCCACTTGGGGAGGCATTGCCAGGGGATCAGCCAGGTAGGGGGAGGGACCGTCCTGCCCACACAACAGAAGGTGAATCTTACCTGCAAAGCGTCAGTTGGCTCCAGAGCTTCTCCCACCCTCCCCTCCCTCAGTTAAGCCTTCTTTTGCGGGTTAACCTCTTCTCCACAGGTACACAGGCGCTGCTACGTAATGGTCGCTGTTGAAGGACCAGAAAAGAATTTTCCTGCATTGGCAGGTTTTGCCTTTCCTGTAGCAAAAAGTCACAACTTTGGCGGTTTCAGGCCTTGTGCGGAATCCTTTAGTCTATCTTCCTAAATGGGGGGGGGGGGCGTGAAGCGGTGACCCCATTAAAGGGGTTTTGAGGGGAGGCATTGGCCATGCGCCGAGAGGTTGTCATTGCTCTCCCCTCCAATGGCGGCGAAACGGGGGGGGGGCTCTCTGCTTGAACAGATGTTATCCCGAGCCAGCCCAATCCCCACTTATGGATAACCCTGAAGCCTCCCAGATCCCCGGCTGGGGACTGGGAAGGATAAACGCCCCATGCCGGGGCCAAGGTCTGCCTACACCTGAAACTTAATAAAGTTGTGGCCAATTTTAGTCCCATAGCATGTTGTCTTGAGTAATTATTCTGCTTGGGGGTCACCCAGGGTTGGGGGGACTCCGCCTGTCCACGCAATGTTCACCACTGCCCACATTGATCCTGTAGTTTTTTGAAAAATGTTGCTGTGTGTGAGAGAGAGTAAGTGTGTCCCTCCCAACCAGCTCTGATCTGGTTTGAAAACACAGACCGTGTAAAGACATCCATGCCCACCCCCTGGTGTGGACAGACAGTGGACAACTTCGAAACGCATCCAACTGTACTGATGTTTACATTAATGTACAAATGTGATTCTGAATGCAGTGTGGAAGGGGTTAGCTCCCTTGTTACGCTCTAAGCTGGTGACTATTCGCCCAATATAAAAAATGCTGCATAAAAACCCATAAAGAAGCAAAGCAATATACAGCAAAAGAGTACGGCAGAATTCTAGCTCAGAGGTCCTCCAAAATGCTTGGGCAAATAAGAGTCTGACTCTGAACCCTTCCCAGTGCATCATTCATCATCATCATCATTATTATTAACAGCCCACCCATCTGGCTTGGTTTCCCCCAGCCACTCTGATAAACATGATAAAACATCAAACATAAAAAAACTTTCTAATATCTTTCACACAGGGTAGTTGATAAGAGAAAATATAAAAAACCCTACATTTCGATGCAAAAGCATCACTTGCCTTCAGCTTCAGAGAATATCTCCAGCTGGCATTCTTCCAGCACCTATGGATTCCTCATCAAAGGGGGGGTGATGGCTGGAATAAGAAAAGCATGTTGGGAGCATCATCTTGGTCCTCTTGTCATTCCATGGCTGCTTTCGTACCTGTATTTAACCCCTTTCCCCTCTTTGTTCACAGGCATAGCAGATGCCCCCCATGCAGTCTTTCCTATCCAGCACCGTCATACAAAGTTGAAAGGGATAATGGTGAGTTATGAAGGATGTGTGTGTGTGTGTGTGTGTGTGTGTGTGTGTGTGTGTGTGTGTGTGTTTTGCAAGGTTTAGGAAATGGAGGGGTTGGGGGGCTTCTTTCCTACCAAAGCCTTTAAAGGGCAATGGGAGGCTGAGGTCTGGGAATCTAGCCATTGGAATGAATAGCCTTTTGAAGGTCTACTTCTATGAAATAGAAACGGGGGGCTGAGGGGCAAATGGTATTGGTCTGGGAAGCTGCAGGCCTCGGTAGGCTTAATCAGCGCCCTCCTTTTCTCTTTGTGGCATGTCCCCGTCTCAGAAAGCATTCCCAGTTATGAAAACCAAGGTGAAGGTGAGTAGGAATTATTGGTTTTAAGGCCACTTTCTGGAAAATGCAGCTTGGCTCACTTGCATGAGTCATCTACTCGCTCTGCAGTTTTGCAGTGCTCTTGGACTTGACTGTGCCTCACTGTGAGTGGATTCTGAAGGCTGGTTTTGGCTCAGGGTTGGGGTGGAGGTTCCCAGCATATGTGAATGTAAGCTCATATGCTCTTATCATAACTCTGCTAATGCTCTCTGTGCTTCCAGTACAAGCTGGTGCCACTGATGATGAGGATAATGATGACAACTATGTCCCTCCATACATGTAAGTCTTTGGGGGGGGGTCAGAGGTCAAACGTTATAATGGATTTTAGCTGGATCACTCATAGGAACCTGTTGGCACACTATGTGCTCTGCATCTATAAAGTCCCCAGCATCTCTGCTTAATGGATTATATACCATCTTTCTTCTGCTTGCTCCATCAGTGTTGTTCACTGCTTAAAGCAGGGATAGGGAATGTGTGGTTGTTGGACTGCAGCTCCCATCAGCCCCAGCCAGCACAGGCAAAGGCCAAGGGTGATGGGAGTTGTAGTCCAGCCAAATCTGGATCCTCTCCAGACTCTGCAAAACGGATTCCATTTTCTAAATCTGCATACTTCATACTGGCAAATTTACATTTGCACAACTAGGTAAAGGTAAAGGTACCCCTGCCCATACGGGCCAGTCTTGACAGACTCTAGGGTTGTGCGCTCATCACACTCTAGAGGCCGGGAGCCAGCGCTGTCCGCAGACACCTCCGGGTCACGTGGCCAGCGTGACGAAGCTGCTCTGGCGAGCCAGAGCCGCACACGGAAACGCCGTTTACCTTCCCGCTAGTAAGCGGTCCCTATTTATCTACTTGCACCCGAGGGTGCTTTCAAACTGTTAGGTTGGCAGGCGCTGGGACCGAGCAGCGGGAGCGCACCCCGCCGCAGGGATTCGAACCGCCGACCATACTATCGGCAAGTCCTAGGCGCTGAGGTTTTACCCACAGCGCCACCCGCGTCCCTTCATTTGCACAACTACCGCGGACCAAATCACTCTGCTGCTTTTGCACAACAAATCCACTTTGGAAAAAAGTGCACATTTTGCAGTAGGGAAAGTGGTGGGGAAATATGAAATATTATTTGAAAAATATTAAACCACCAGCAGTTAATATGTTATAAATGGATGCCAACACACAAACAAAAAAAATCTAAAACATCTAAAAACACCTTTAAAAATGCAATTCCAGTACAGAGCTGCCTTGGGACTATGATTAGCTGCAAAAGGCAGTATCCAAATGAAAATATATACCGTAAGCAGTGTTGGCCCTTGACCTCAGAAAACTGCTGCCAGTCCGAGCAGCCAATGCTGCATGAGATGGATTGGTGGGTTTCATTCAGCATGAGTCAACTGCTTATTTCTCGGATCAGTGCAGCACCAAAGCTTCTTTTCACTTCTCTTCCACAGTGACGTGCTGCCAGATGCGCCACTTACAGGTCAAGGCAATGAAGACGGTGCTTCCACAGGTGAGTTGGCAGCAGGTGGGATGGACTGACTCCCTCCTGGGACCGGGGCTGGGGTTCTCTTGGAGAGTGTTGTGGCAACCCATCTGTCTACAACCTCAGGGTCATCTAAATGTAGCATTTATTTCTCTCCCACCTTACATCCAAGGAACTCGGAGGTGCTGTAAATGGCTGCTCCCCTCTCCTATTCAATCCTCACAGCAACCCTGCAGAGTAGGTTAGGCTAAGAGACAGTACCTGGTCCAAGGTCACCCAATAAGCCTCTTGGCTGAGTGGAGATTGAACCCTGGTCTCCCAGGTCCTGCTGCAACACCCTAACTCAGTGATGGCCAAACCTGGCCCTCCAGCTTTCTTGGGACTACAACTCCCATCATCCATAGCTAACAGGACCAGTGGTCAGGGATGATGGGAATTGTAGTCCCAAAACAGCTGGAGGGCTAAGTTTGGCCATCACTGCTGCATCACAGTGATTCTAAATGAGAAAGGAACTTGGGACACAATTGGGAAAGGGCAGTGTTTGAAGTGCTTCCGATTTTTCCTTTTCAGATTCCCTAGGGGAGCAGTATGAGAATGTGCTTGAGTGTGAGCGCAATTCGCCCGGTGAGTGTGGAAAGTAGATCTATGGGGCCCGGGTAGTCAGGAATGAGGGCATAGGATTGCATTGAAAATGGAGGTGGGTTTGTACATGCCATGCCGGGCACAGCTGGACGTATCATTAGGCAGAATCAGGGCCAGGCAGAATCGGGTGGGTGGAAGGTTAATTTTTGGTGTCCCAGAGCATTCAGTGAAGCTTACTCCCTAGTAAGGGCATTTAGGGTTGCGGGCAGAAGCAACTAACTGAAAGATCCAGCCAATGCTGACCCCAGTTTTGCACTAGTTGCCAGAGACTTATATTAAAAAACTTTGCTATGAGCAGCCTTGCTTCCAATATTTTTAAAAACCATATAATAATTTGCATAGCTCCTGCAAAGCAGTATACCACCTTGGCAAAAATAAAATAAAATGCTGTGTGCTGCAGGTTTCATTGTGCTGAGCAGATGGCCCACATAAGCTACTGTTTATGTGTCCATCCCAGAGGCTGAGTCAAGGAGTTTTGTGGTTGTGGAAGGGGACTTGAAACTGGGTCTTCTTGAGTTAAACCAGCTCCTTCGTGCTGTCTCTGCTGTGACTGAGCAAGGCACTGCTGAGGCGCGTGCAGTGTAGGGTGGTCCGTCAGGACAAACAGGACACTTCCCCACCAAGCTCAGTCTGTCCTCAGCCCAACCCCTTTTGATGATCTCCTTCCTTACAAGCGGTCCAAGAGGTAGCACCATCTGCTGGACTCTTCTGCCTTAATTTCAGGGTTGCCTTTGTCAAACTCGGCAGGAAGGAAGGGTGTGGAGAAAACTAGAATGAGTTGGCTCCACCCATCACTGGGTCTAGCTCCCCCTACTGTTGACCTCCCTGCCTTCTGCCCACACAGTCCCAGTGGACGCCAGTCTCTCCACTGGATGTACCTCAGAACCTTCATTAAATCTTCCATTTTCTCTCTCCGTCAAAGGTGACTATGTCAACGTACTAGAACCAGAAGCTACCATGGTGGGTCCTTGTTTTGGTGAGTGGGAAAAGCCTGCTGTGTGGGCCTGCTAGGAAGTTCTCATTTAATTTCCCTATAGTCCCTCATTATCCAGGGCTAAGGGTGGGGCCCTATATCTCCCTGCCATAATTTTAAGTCCTTTTTCATTTTCCTGTAGTTGGCAGTGGCACCAGTGATCGGGAAAGTGAAGATGACACTCCGGACTATGAGAATGTCTGTCCTGGGCTTTGAGGTATCTGGATTATGGTGTCTGTTTGGGGCACGGGACGGATGTAGGGTGTGTGTGTGTATATATATGGATGTGGCTTCATATATATGATAGAGGGCAACCCTAGAACCTGTATGCCAGCAATCACCTCTGAGCATTTGTAGACTCTTAACCAACATCTCTTTCTCCCTAGGTTGAAAGGTTCCTTTGCCGGTTGCTCCAGTCACCTATATGCAGAATGCATTACCTGGTTGGCCTAAGGACACTGTCTTCCCAGTCACCCTCAAATATTGCCGTAACTTATTGCCCTTCTTTGCACTTTGCATGACACATCCTGAGAATTTTCCACAATACTATAGAATCTTGGTAGCAAGATTCAGAAGCTTGACTGTCCATGTGGAACTGGTCTTCTAACACTCCCCACCCCCCCAGCCCGCAAAGCATTCTGGGTTGTTTATGTCTCTTTGCTAAATAAAGAACTGGTAATTTCATCGTTGTTGTACTTGAAAGGGAATTGGTGCAGGATTATGGATGGGGAGAGATGCCTAGAAGGGTCTGAACAGAGTGTGCAGAGTTCAGGTGAACAGATAAGTCTTGGCAATTGCTAAACAGTGCACTGGGATTCTAACTTTGGTTTCTACTTCAACTGAAGTGAACCTCAGAGGTTCCTCGCTTCCTCGAGCACTGCAGCCTGCATTCGGTTACTTGGGACGACAGAGTATTAGAGTATTAGAGACATTATGCAACATTATTGCTTCCTTGACTTGGGATGCTTACACACAAGGCTTTTAAAGTGGAATTGCTGTGCTTCATCCACTCTTACTTATGCTCCATCTTTCAGTTTTCAAAAGCACGGCACCAGGCAGTTTCCATCATTAAAGCAACAAGCAGTGCTTTTTATCTGGGGGGTACGCATACCCCTAACATTTTGTGAATCTAAGTTTGACTTCATTGAGGGGCAGTATGAGTAGGAAAATGAGAGTAGCCCCAAACATCTTTTTAAGGAAAAAAAGCACTGGTAACAAGTCATTAAAAAAAAAAAATAGCATTAAATCAAGCCGATCAAACAGGAGACGGAAATTAAAGGAGGCCAAAAGCTTATCAGAATACAGTGTAAACAAAATTTATGGCTCCAGAGAAACACTTGCCTGTCCTCTGTGCAACACAGTAGAGGATGATAGGGATGCAGGCTACTGGATTATTTTATTTTTTGCTTTTCCTTGGATTCACAGAGTCCTGAAGTTATTGCTGCTCATTTTGTGAACAAAAGTCATATAATACCCAAACCTGCCCAGCTCCATTCACCTCTAAGTGGAACATTGGTTGGGGGAACCTCTTCTGTTTACGAGGAGTTGGCATACACTGATGGATGGAACAAGTCACAGCCACTGCCGCTCTTAATCTTATCTTCCATATGTTTTGTAAACACAAACCTCTTGGCGCGAGACCTTTGGGGCAGAGGGTGATGCCCTGCAGCCAGGTTCTTGAATCGACTATCTGCCCGAGACAAATGCCATTTTTATTCCACACCCAAGTCGCCACCGGCATTCAAGATAGGCCAGATGTTTCTTGCATAATAACCACGGGAATACTGGGTAGGGACAACAACAGATAGACAGGGTTGAGATCATAGGGGCAGTGCCAGGCAAGCACAAACACCCCATTATCTTGGGGTGCCAGAGAGTGTTGAGGTGCCCTTACAGTCTGCTGTCTCTGCTGATAACGGAAGCAGGCACGTAAGCCGTCCCCCCTTGGCTGTGTTTTGCTGTGCTATTAGGGACTTCCACAATCTCCAGAAGAACAGTCATTGCTTGCAGGGATGGGCTTCTTCACATTGATCCTCCTCACCTCCTCCTGCTTCCTTGGAAAAGCCGGTGAGTTGCCTGCTTTGAAACTGAAGGAGGTGGGCAGCAAAGGCATCTTAAGAGTTGGAAAAGACTTGAGAGGCCAAGATCTAGTTCAGCCACCTGCTCAATGCAGGATGGCACTACTGCAAGGTTGCTGGTGGTACCAGTGGCCCTCCAGATGTGGCTGGACTACACTCCCATCATCTCTGACCATTGGCCGTGTTGGCTAGGGCTGATGGGAGTCCAAGAACATCTGCAGGGCCATGGGTTATCCATCTCCAGACTGCAGCACCCCTGGCAGAAGGTCCTCTAGACTCCAGCCAAGGAGAGCCCACCACTTCCCAAGGAAGTCAGTCTTAATATAGCAGTATTATTCACAATTATCCATTATTCTGGAAAGCATTGTGCAACCACTTAAGTGGAGTGGTTGTAGGGGATGGCACTTGGCATGAAGTGTTGCTGGGCTGGAGAAGGGAGCAGAGAGCAGGGGAGGGACAGTGTTGTTTGTGACTTGCTTGTGAACCACCAGACACGTTGTTTTTTAACTACTGTCAGTCATCTGGGGAGCAACCTGGTGCCTCTGCAAGCTCACAAGCAAGGTTTGCTCCCAGCCTTTCAGTACTTTAACACAGGTACATTACCTTTGAACATGGGGATTCCATTTTCCCAGTACTGTATTTTTATATTTGTTTTTACATCAATATATGGCAATCTTTTGCAATCTGTTCCCTTGGGCAGTTTTTGCTGCTAGGCAATTATCAATATACAGTGGTACCTCGGGTTATATACGCTTCAGGTTACATACGCTTCAGGTAACAGACTCCGCTAACCCAGAAATAGTGCTTCAGGTTAAAAACTTTGCTTCAGGATGAAAACAGAAATTGTGCTCAGGCAGCGCAGAGGCAGTGGGAGGCCCCATTAGCTAAAGTGGTGCTTCAGGTTAAGAACAGTTTCAGGTTAAGTACAGACCTCCGGAACGAATTAAGTACTTAACCCTAGGTACCACTGTAATTTGGCAGCCATTGAGCCCATCTTTAAGGTGGAATTAAGTAAACTGTGTGTTTCATAAAGAACTTTTGCTTGCCCTGAATCTATTTCTAATCAGCACCATTGGGGTGACTCAAGGTCTTTCCAGATGACCGGCTCATTTGTCCTGATTTGTTTGAGAGTTTAGATGGCCTTGCACTGAAGCAAGTGCAATCCAACGCTTTCGATGCCTTTCCTTGTCACTTTCCTTATCGCAAGAAGTCTGACCTTTTGGGGAAGCAGGTTTGTTGCACGAGACCTCCCAATCCCTTGCAGTTGTGGGACCTGAATTTACCTGTATGTGACTAAATCCCACCCGAATACAGTGAAAGCCTGGAAGCAACCCCTGAATGAAGTTAAGTTGGCTTATCTGAATTGGGTGCGGTAATTTGACTGGCAAGAGCCTTCCAAGGATTTGGAAAAAGTCTCTTCTCAATCCTCTTAGCTGGTAAGCTTTTAGGTACAGATGCATGGACCTTAACCCAGGACAGTCTACCACTTACTGAGCTATTTAGGCAAGATGGCCCATGGAAGAGTGATCACTGGATGATCTTTGGCTGTATGGCTTCTCAGTTTGATGCCGTTTAAGATGGTCCTTAGATTTCCCCAATAATTATATTTAGGGCCACATAGGCATCACTGATAAAGAGGAAACACATAACTTTTGTTTTTTAAGATATATTTGTGTAAAATCTGCATGTGCTAATTTGTATGTTTGGATGTAAATACAGACACAGTCACTATAATTGAAACAAAAATGCAATCCATCTCAACATCCTGGGGAAGACTGTGACCTGTGTAGATGGTCCATTTCAAGGCCCCTGTCACATGGAAGACGGAATTGTAGAGCTGAAAAGGGACCCCAAGGATCATCTAGTCCAACCCCCTGCAATGCAGGAACGTGCAACTGTCCCATATGGGGATCAAACCTGCGACCTTGGTGTCATCAGCACCTTGCTCTAACCAGCTGAGCTATCAGGTGTCCAGTGGTTGTATTTTCTCAGTTAAGCAGGCAGCAACCCAAACGGAATGATAAAGTAGGATGCGCTGCCTGCCACCCTAAGGCCAATTCACACATGCCTGCATATTCATTGATTTCTCAGCACTTGCCAAACGGCAGCTGACTGTGAGACCTGACTCCTAAGCAGAAGAGGAGAGCTCTTCTGATGTGTCTGTTCTGTGTTGCTTGACCCAGCCGGGAAGCTGCAAGTGCAGGCCGAGCCCTCTCTGGTGAAAGCTGCGGTTGGAGATGATGTCTTGCTGAATTGCATCTTTACTGTGGACGAGCCTACTGTGGACCTCAGCCGACTCTCAATCCTCTGGTTCCACCGGGGCAGGCAGCTGGCGGAATTTGACGATGTGGTGACCACCTCCGGGGAAGGCGTCAGCCTGAGCCGGGAAGAGCTGGGGAAAGGCAATGCGTCCTTGTTCATCTCCCGGGTTGGCACTGGAAACTCTGGCAACTACAGATGCTACGTTACATACACGCCGGAAGTGCGCATCCGGGAAGTGACTTTGCAAGTTGCAGGTAAGAGAGGTGGATGGTGTGGCAGGTGGTGTGTGTGTGTGTGCGCGCGCGTGTGAGCGCAACCAAGCACCAACAGGACACAACATAACATTTGAAGATTAGGAAAGGTTGTGGAGAAAAGGGGTCAAGTTTACTGCATGTACGGTGTTAAAGGAAAATATTATGAAAATGATGTATAGATGGTACTTAACCCCTGTAAAATTAATAATATGTATTTTTTTATCCCCCCCCACTCCATTTTTAAAGTTTTATTTTCTACATTACTGGATTCAAGGCAATTATTGTCCAAATATGCAACAAAAGTCACCTTGCCACCCTACATTCATTCAGAGTATATTAACTGAAGAATCCCTTTCACACACAGCACAAGATATTTTATCTATACAATATCAGCAGATAATCAAACAAAACCGCACCCATCAATTCCAATTTAAATAATTTACAAATCAATAGCAAATAGCCACAGGTTGACACAGAATTGTGTGACTATCCTAGAAACCCATCCCCCCCCCATTCTTCACTGCTCTCTCTCTCTCTCTCTCTGAATCCCCCTTCAGTAAATATCTATTCCTAGCCCCCCTCTCTTTTGAACACATTCCCCTTTCAAACACCCTATGAAAGAGAAAGGCTTGTTTTCCTCTGGAGACTTCCAAAATGCAGCCTTTACCTTCTACATTGGTTCATTTTATTTCCAGTTTAATTGGGCTTATAGTCACATTTTAAAAATCAAGTGAGCCTAGCTAACATCTATAAATCTTAGATATCAACAAAAAGACACTCACCTGTCTTCCCCCTGCTCCCTACATGATGTTAATAATTTGGGGTACATTAAAGGCATACATTTTGCACCACAAAAGAAAAGCTTTTGCTTTCTTCTAATTTACAAGTAACTCCTGCCTTGATTTGCCTGCAGGTGGTGTGCCTTACTCACCCTAGGCGACTAGGCAGGTAGCTATGAACAAAGCCATATCAAATAGAGGTGGAAAAAGACTTGCCCAATGCCTAAACATTACTACAGTGCCTTGTAATTCTGCGTAGCAATTTCAGTTTTTGGAATTTGTATGGACTGTATTTAAACGTGGAAGAAGTACAGAAGATATTGATGGGTCCATCACAAATGTCTCAGCTTTGATTTCTGTGTTTCATTCATTCATTTCTAACCCTACTGTGTGTTGCATGCTGATACTAATTCCCTGCAGACCCCGAGGAAGATCTGGAAGATTCCTTTTCATCCCCGTGTCTCAGCCATTCAGATATCCTGAGCAAGCTGGGTCAAATTGAGGAAGCTGTGAAGCAACTCGAGGCCAAACTCCAGGAGCTCGTGACCAGCAAGAGTGCCACAAGATGCAGTTCTGAAGTTGCCTCCCCGACCATGCCAGAGCCCTCACGCTGATTGCATTTCTGCACTGCTGCAAATCAAAATAGGCTTCAAACCCATTTAGCTTAAACTTCCCGTGTTATGCAAGTAAATGTGGAAACTGTAGCTCTGTGACAGGGCTTAGAGTCTCTTGACAAATCATTCCTGCAATATCTTAATTCCTAGGATTCCCTGGGGGGGGGGTGTTATGACCATTAAACCAGCTTCAGAATTAATACTGTGTTGAAGGGCACTGCATGTACTGAATGGCAGTGGAGGGGTGGGGCTGAACTGACTATTTCTGAGTGCATCAGGGCCTGGAACCTGGTGGGGTGGAGACAGAGTTGGATTAAACAGGAGGCAACGCAGGGAACTCCTGAGGGCGCCAGCCTTGAGGAGTGTCTGGTTCGTTGACCACTCATCCTGATTTATTTGAGGGGAGACTGAATGACATTGCCTCAGAGCAAGTGTCACCTCACACTTTCCAATGCATTTGCTCACCAGTAATCACCTTCCTTGTGGTAAAAAGCCCAATCTTTTGTAGAAGTGGGTTTCTTGCACAAGACCTCCCAATCCACTGTAACTATGTACCCTGAATTTGCTAGGATGTGACTGAATCCAACCCCAAAATGGTATGAATGGGGGGTGCGTGTTATTTCTAGATCTGCTCAACTATCAATAGCTGACTCAAATAGAATAAACACTTCATCTTCACCTATAAATCTGGCAATGACCTATGCGGACAGCCTGCATTACTCCTTTTTGAAAACAACATTAGAGAAGTTATTTAAAAACATAAAAATAGCTCTGTTAGATCAAGGCCAGTGGCCCACCTAGCACATACCTGTTCTCACAGTGGTCAGGATCTGCAATCAGGATTTGAGCACCACAGCAACCTCCCAGCATTATGCATCCTGCTTTTGAGTGTGTTCTGGCTGACCATTGATAAAGACCCAAGTTTTGGACTCCATGGACATGTGGTCAAATTCATTTGATATGTTCTAGCGTTATGATGGGACGCGGGTGGCGCTGTGGGTAAAAGCCTCAGCGCCTAGGGCTTGCCGATCAAAAGGTCGGCGGTTCGAATCCCCGCGGCGGGGTGCGCTCCCGCTGCTCGGTCCCAGCGCCTGCCAACCTAGCAGTTCGAAAGCACGTCAAAGTGCAAGTAGATAAATAGGGACCGCTTACTTGTGGGAAGGTAAACGGCGTTCCGTGTGCTGTGCTGGCTCACCAGATGCAGCTTGTCACACTGGCCACGTGACCCGGAAGTGTCTCCGGACAGCATTGGCCCCCGGCCTCTTGAGTGAGATGGGCGCACAACCCCAGAGTCTGGCAAGACTGGCCCGTACGGGCAGGGGTACCTTTACCTTTAGCGTTATGTCAGTCCCACATTCTCTAGGTGCGCTACATGGGCGGGGGCAAGAGGGGGAGCTGCCTCCCCTAAATCAATACAAATCTGAGCTTCTGCCCCCCCCCCAATCCTGGCTACTCCCATGGTGCGCTAGTCCTGGCTAGTACTCAGTAAAAAGCACTGCTTATGGTCAAGAGGCGCTCTTGTATTTTTCAATTACACAGCCCAGTGCACTGAGAAAAAACACACACACAAAAACGAATTAAGCTCTGGGGAAATGCAACTCCTGGTTAAAGGCACAAGTCTGAGCCACCCGCTCCTTCGCCAGGAGAGGCACGCGGAAAACACACGCCGAGGGGCTTTCGCTTTAAGAGCCTCCCACTGGACTCTGGCTGGGGTACAACCTGGGTGTCGCTTAGCTTGGAAAGCGCTGAGGCAGCAGCAGCCTCCGGAGGGGGAAGGGGACGGCCAGGGGCCTGTTGCAAGAACCAGCCTGGAAGGGACGAGAGAAGCTCAGCAGCCCCCAGCATGGAAGGCTTGTAAGCGACTGTTCCCCCACCTCGCAAAACAATAACCGTGCCCGCCCCCTTCCCAGTGCCCACACTTCGCGCCCCTGCCCCACCCCCGCTTGCTTTTTGCAAGAGTGCCCTATTTTCCTAATACTCGTAATGGCACAAGAGGGTGGGGGATGCGTGCGCACGGGACAGGGCGTAATAAACGTAATATTCGCGCCACTCAAAGGTCCCTGAAACTAACATGTCGCTCCCTTACATGAAGTTTTGCAGTTAAGTTTGCTTGCTGCCGTAATGCAGGAGAATCTCATCAAGGAGAGTCCAAAAATGCAGGTAGCTGCGTCGATGCCTTCGACTGAAATGAATAAAAGGTGCATCGCACAACGCCTAGTCCATTAGGGTCAGCTGGTAGCCATGGAGTCACGTGCTGGCAAAAGGTGGAATTTGTCGCTCGGGAGTGCGGAGGCTGGAGTTTCAGTTAGCCAGCTTAGCCCTACATAGCAAGGCTGTTGTGATAAATAGGCCACGCCCACATCCATGTATCAGTGGAGGGAGAGTGGTGATCGCATGCAAAAACTTTGAAGCCTCGCGTATTGCACACAGCTTGCCAGGCAGTTGGGTCGCTTGTGAGGCTCGTTTGGAACAGTTTATAACAGATTGTTGGCCAATTTGCGCTTTTCCCGACATCTCTTTAAGGTAAAGATAAGACATCTTGGTACTGCACACTTGTAAAAGGCCACAAAACATCCGAGGGCGAGGGAAAGCAAGGAATGGGTCTCATTCAGGGAGACTTTGGCCATCTCCCTTTGCAATCCTGTGCATGTTTATGTGCAAGTATATGCCATTCATTTCCCACTGAGTAAGCATGCAGAGGATTGTAGCCTTAGCGTTTGCCCCAAGGCAAAATGCATAACCTCTTCATAGCGCATGTTAGATTCTATGTTCAATATTCTAAAAACGGCACATACTTGCTTCACGTGACCTTTGAGCCCCTTTATGCTCCATTTTCTCCCTCCCTACCCAAAATCTGCAGCTACCACAATGAGGCCAACACGTCATACATCCGATGTAATGGGCTTTTAGTCTATCGAAGCTTATGTATGTCACACAAACCCATTAGTCTTCAAGGCACAGCGAGCCTCCTTTTGGGGCGCATGCGATAGCAGACGTTATCCCTACAGCATCTTTGCACTGCCTCCCCACCACCCACCCAGCGCAAATGTCATACTGATGTTGTGGAAATAGCAATTGTGCCTAATGTCACTGGTGGCAACTATTGATTGACCCTTCAGGGGTTGGTTGCTTGGTTATGGCTTCAGTGCATAGCCCTCCCCTGCGTATATAAGCAGCATGAACTGTGCAAAACAAGAAATGCTACTCAGTTAATACAGGTTGAAGAATTCAGATTTTGTCAGGAGACTATTTGGTTGTTGCTGTTTGTATGTATGAAGTATACAAACACCTGTCTATGCACGTTCCCACGGCAGCCCCCAGGCTCCCCCCAAAGAAGCCTACCGTGCGGCAATGGTGCTCTCTGGCGCAGGAGATGCCCTCGGCTACCGCAACCAGCGCTGGGAATACTGCACCTCAGGGCCTCAGATCCACCAGGAGCTTCAGGAGCTGGGGGGCCTCAGCAAGGTTCGGGCAGCCCTCCCTGACTGGCCTGTCAGCGACGACACTGTTCTGCACCTGGCGACGGCCGAGGCTCTGGCCACAGGTGAGTAGCAGGAAAGGCTGGGCAGCCTTACAGCCTTTTCTCAGCAGGTCCTTCTTCCCTAAGGAATAGCATTTTTCACTTACAGCAGAGCTCGGCCTACATAGGGCCGACTTGAGGTATGACTGAGGGGGTTCTCCTCAGCAGTGTCATCTCTTGGGTCTCCTATGTCCATAGGTTCACTTGTTCGCAGCAATGGTGGCAGTTCTCCAATCAGCAATGGGCAAGAAGTCCTGTTATTGATGCTGTTGTTGTTGTTAAAATTTGTATACAGTGGTGCCTCGCAAGACGAAAAGAATCCGTTCCGCGATTCTCTTCGTCTAGCGGTTTTTTCATCTTGCGAAGCAACCCTATTTGCGGCTAAGCGGATTAGCGCTATTAGCGGTTTAGCGGCTATTAAAGGATTAGCGGCTAAGCTGCTAAAAGGCTATTAGTGGCTTAGCGGCTTAGAAAAAAGGGGGGGGGAGTGAGAGAGAAAAACGCAAGACTAGCAAGACGTTTCGTCTTGCGAAGCAAGCCCATAGGGAAAATCGTCTTGCGAAGCAACTCAGAAACAGAAAACCCTTTCGTCTAGCGGGTTTTCCGTCTTGCGAGGCATTCGTCTTGCAGGGCACCACTGTACCATCCTTCATCTGTAGATCTCAGAGCAGTTCACAACATGAACCAACCTGAGATTTTCACATGGGGTGTGGTGGATGTGGGAATGCAGAGGAGATTTTTAAAAAATTAATGCATAACACTTCTCTATGTTTCCTCTATCCAGGGAAGGAAGGGGAGGCGCTGTTCCAGGAGCTGGCCAAACGCTATGTTGAAGCCATGAACGACATGGAAGGGAGGAAGCCTGGGCCCACGAGCATTCTGGGTAACTTGCGACGGCACTCCTCTGTGCAAGTTACAGCGATATAATTCTCTTCGAAAACAAATACATCCCTGCTCCGTACATAGACAGAAACTAATCTGACACTAAGGAAGTGGTGCTGATGTGCAAAGAGCTTTGAAGTGTGTGGGGGGGGGGACTGTGCCTTAAGGTGGTCTTGTGAAAACACTGTCAGTGTTGTTCTTGTAGTACAGTCATACCTCTGGTTACAGATGCTTCAGGTTGTGTTTTTTCGGGTTACAGACCCGCCGAAACCCGGAAGTACCGGAATGGGTTACTTCCGGGTTTTGGCAGTTTCACATGCGCAGAAGCGTCGAACCGCAACCCACGCGTGCGCAGACGTGCTGCTGCGGGTTGCAAACCTGCATCCCACACGGATCATGTTCGCAACCCGAGTGTCCACTGTACTCAACAGGAAAGAGGATTGGGGCAAAACTCAAATTAGTTGGCTTCACCTGTCGTTCCCTGTGGCTCCACCTCCTGTGAGTTTCCAGGGCACCAACCCTCTATGGGGGGAAAGAGGTTGAACAGTAGTGATATTTTGCAGAAAAACTACAAAAGGGGGGAAAGGGAAGGAGAGGAGCTTAGGACAGAAGGCCATTTTTAGGAAAAATCGCAGAGTAAGGTCAGGAGGCCTATTTTCTTTCCACCCTATATGTTTCTTCTACTTTAGATGGCAGCCTCTGCAGTTGTATTCTGTGAAATAAATGAAATGCTCAGGGCTGCCTCCATACAGCTCAAGAGCACAAGCACTTTGGCCCATACACATCTTCGCATGTCTCTCATTTTCCTCCCGCCTGCAGGAACATCTCAGTTGCGTCCAGGGGAGCCAAATGGATATCGCATTCCCTTCAACCCCGGTGCCACAGGTTGTGGTGCCGCCATGAGATCCATGTGCATTGGGCTCAGGTAACATGGGGGGGGGGGGGACACACGTAGGAAATGACAAAGCTGGGGCCAAGCAGAAAAGCTGAGGGCCAAAGTCGGACTCCAGCATGACCCCCAGCCGCCATCTCTCCCAGGTATCCTCGCCCTTCAGACCTGAGCACTTTGGTCCAAGTCAGCATAGAAAGTGGAAGAATGACGCACCACCACCCCACAGGTAAATGATTATGTGCGGTAGTCGTCCTGTATCAGGGTGCCTTTCCCAGCAATGGTACATAAAAAGGACAATGCTGAGATGGGCGGAAGGGCTTTCTCCATGACTTGAAAGCTGTGGGTGTGTGGGTGTTTGGAGTAGTGGTCAGTGTGGGTCTTGGGGCTGCAGGTCTACCCATACAGATGGACAAAGCCCTGAGGTGGTTGAATAAGGACTTCAGGCTGCAGGTGGAAGATTCTCTGTTTGAACACCCCTTGCATTGAAATTTCCCTGAAAATTGAAGCCTAGTACAGTAAGAGCCAGAGTATGGTTATCCATGATATGTTTGCAAGGAGTTTTTAATACAGAGGAGCATTCAGAAAGTGCCCCCCCATTTGCATTCTGAATCTATATCGTCATTTCTACCACTTCATTCTGCTGCATGTGTAGACCCAGCCTAAGTATCTTGAGGGTGATGGGAGATGTGACATTTTAACAAAGGTCATCCTGGGTCCTTCACTTTTTTTTTGCACTTTATGTACTACTTATGTACTACCAGATAACACACCACCAGCAAGCAAGCAAAAATGCCTTGCCTCTCCCTTAACACTGCAGGATGGCAATCTGTCATTGCTTGTTTTTCAAAAATTAGCGTAGATTCTCTAAGTCTATGCATATGTACATTTAAAACCTGTACCTCTCACCTTATCAAATAATTGGCAAACATTTTCAAAACTGTTGCCAAACTGCTCTGGGGGAAATCGTGGGATGGTGATGTCACAGGCGCTGTGCAATAGGCCCCCTTCAAAGCCAGCTTTACCTTCAAACTGAACTAAACGGGGGGTGATGGGGGGGTGGAATGCAGAAACATTTCCCCCACCAGGGATGAAAGAAGGCATATTTGTATTGAACCATTGAGTACTTTTAAAAAGTTGCGCTCCCTGCTAAGCCATAAAGTCTGCTGGGTGGGCCTTGCGCAAGTCTCTGTAGCTCAGCCTAATCTACGTCTTGGAGCTGCAGTGAGGATAAATTTCCTTGAGGGATCCTGACTTCCACCTATCCTCTTCCTCCGTTGTAGGCTATCTGGGAGCTCTGGCCTCTGCTCTGTTCACTTCTTATGCAGTGCAGGGCCTCCCCCTTGAGCGCTGGGGAGCTGGATTGCTCAGGACCCTGCCCCTTGCTTTAGAGTACATTCAGACTGCTGCAGCTGAGAGTGACTCCAATGTGGGGGCCTGGGCTTATTTCCAGGAGAAATGGGAGTGGTAAGTCCTTTGGGTGTGCTCTGGTACGGTGAAGGGGGACCTGAGTAACTGGAGGGTGTTGTTATTTTATTTTTTAGGATAATGCAGTTGAAAGCTTTCCCCTCCTTTTTTCCAGTGTGCATCTTTTATCAGGATGTCTAGAAACTTGCTTTTGTAAAATGAATAAATGAACAGCCAGATTCTGTGGTGAATGGAGAGCTGGTGCAATGTAAGGTTAGAGTGCTGGATTAGAATCAAGGAGACCTGGGTTCAAATCCCTGCTCAGCCAGCAACCTCTGAGTGAATTTGGCCAGCAACTACCTAGGTCTAGCCTACCTCACAGCTTTGTGAATATAAAATGGATTTGGGGGGGTGGGAGGTGGGGCAGGGGAAGATAATTGGTTGTATCCAACAAAGTCATAATCAAGGTAGACCCATTGAAATCAATAGACCTGACTCGTTTAAGTCCAGTAATTTCAGTGGGTCAACTCTGAGTAAGTTGGAGGCAACCCAGCAAATGCTATCTTGAAGGAAAAACTTAAATCTCCTTGTCAAAATTCGATTGTCTATTATAATTTTAACACACACACGCCCTACCGTGTTCCTACTCTCTTTATGTACCCAATTGGAAAAAGGAGCTTTTAACAAAATTTGAAGGGGGAGGTTTTGACAAGACAACAATTCAACATTACTTTCAAACAGAACTTAAGATTGAGTTTGATTTTTAAAACAAGCATACAGCAAAATTCAAAGCTGAATTCAGGGGGGGAAACCTCACTGTGAAGGCAAAACAATATCTTGGTTCTAATAGTAAAGTTTATCAGGTAGGTCAGAGTAAAGAGAGTCATTGTGGTGCAGAGGTCATTCTGTTTATTTCACTGTACATTGTGCCCTCATTGGCTCTCAAGGAGGTCTTGGATTCTTGGCTTTTTCACTTTTGCTATCTAACCATTTAGGTACCTCTCTGAACGGGGCCTGGCTACGGGTCAGGGCCCTTGTCTGTTTCCTGCTGCCTATAGTCCTGCTGAGCGTGACGTCATCTACAAAACCTTCAGCCTGGACGGGTGGGCCGGACGGAGTGGTCACGATGCCCCCATGATTGCATACGACGCCTTGCTGGGCGCAGGGGAGAAATGGGAGGAGCTCTGTAGCCGTTCCATGTTCCACGGGGGTGAGTTGAAAGGAGGCAAATCCTGCCCCTCCCCCACTGTAAAAGTGGCCCACCCTAAAAGTAAAGGTAAAGGTACTCCTGACCATTAGGTCCAGTCGCGGACGACTCTGGGGCTGCGTGCTCATCTCGCTCTATAGGCCGGGGGAGCCGGCGTTTGTCCTCGGACAGCTTCCAGGTCATGTGGCCAGCATGACTAAGCCACTTCTGGCGAACCAGAGCAGTGCATGGAAACGTTGTTTACCTTCCCACCGGAGCGGTACCTATTTATCTACTTGCACTTTGACGTGCTTTTGAACTGCTAGGCTGGCAGGAGCTGAGACAGAGCAATGGGAGCTCACCCCGTCGCGGGGATTTGAACCGCCGACCTTCTGACTGACAAGCCCTAGGCTCTGTGGTTTAGACCACAGCGCCACCTGCATCCCTGGCCCACCCTAAAGCTGGCTGCATTTCATAGAATTGTAGAGTTGGAAGGGACCCTGAGGATCATCTAGCCCAACCCCTCTGCAATGCAGGAATGCAGCTGTCCCAAATGGGGATCAAACCTGCAACCTTGGTGTTATAAACACCAGGCTCTAACCAAACTTGTTTTCTCGGTGTGTGTGTGTTTTCCTGCTCACCCACAGGGGATAGTGACTCTACAGGGGTGATTGCTGCCTGCTGCTGGGCTCTGGCTCACGGTTTCAGAGGGGTCCCAGAAGATAACCACATAGCGCTTGAATACCGAGACAGGATGGTGGCTGCAGCTGATGCCCTCTATCAACTTGCCTGGGAACAGACTCCTGTTTGAAAGACCTTTCCGCTGTCTCTAGCATCTAAGGATGGACTCTAATCTGTTGATTTTGGTTTCTTCTCAATCATAATTTCAGGTCTTCTCATTTCCACACCAATTTATGATCTGTGCATGGCACAGCCCTTGTGAAAATTAATCAGCGTTTTAGTGAGAATTTCGCTTGATACACGTCATTTCCCCCAATAGACACATTTTTCTGCAAAGCAATTTCCCTTATTGTAATGTTGCTTTTCACTAACACCTGCATTTGTATGTACACTTTGCCCTAATCTATGCATTCTTGTACATGTTACTTGGATGGAAAACTGCATTGCAAAATTTGGAGAAGCACCAATGTCCAAGGATGGCTGGCTTTCAATTTGCATATTGTTTTGGAAAGGGCAAATTTGTTAACTTCGTCTTTAAATGTGAACTGAATCTAATTTCTGCTCCAGCATCCCAGGCCCCTGAGAGAGGCCCTGAACATGAGCTGCAACAAGCTGAAAGCTGTTCTTCACAGAATAAACCGAGGCTGTGTTTGCAGTTCTGCCTTGTGTTTTGTGGGAGGAAAATTTCAGCCACTGGTTTTCTAAGATCCTCTAAGGAACCTCCTGTGGCCTGGGAGATCTTCCATGAGATCCCAAAGCTATGGTAGAGAGCTGTTTTTAGTAAGTGGTGAGGGAAATGCACTCTGCACATGCCCAGAGGCACTATCTTCTTTATTATATCTTCACATACACCATTGGGGAAAATAATTTTGTGGGTGAAATCTTGGCCTCTTTCAGAGAACTCAGCAGTCTTAACCCCCATCTACCCCACTCCTGTCTGGCCCAGATCCCATTCTTCTCCCAAAGAACCCAGGAGTCCTGGACACACACAGAGACCCAGCCATGATGGTTTAATTTGGCACCAAGGCAGTGTTTTAGGGTAGCCAAACTGGGATGTGGGGAAAAGAGAGAGAGAGAGAGAAAGAGAGAGAGAAATGTACTTTCATTTTTAACCCCTGAGCAGGGATGTCAAATCAATGCAGAAACACGAAGGGCTACCCATCTCTGCGTCTGTTGGGAAGGTGGTTATGGTCCCAAAGAGTGATTGGCTTCTTTTGTTAGGTTGTCATGATTCTTTACAATACAGGATTATGGGAAATGTTTCAAGCCCCAGAGAGTTCTGGGAACAAGCCCATGAACTGCATGACAGCAGCAGTCAACGAGACCACAGGCCCTCAGCAGCAGAGGATGATGCGATTAGTCACAGCTGCTGCAGAGGATGATGGGAAAGTAACTGAAGTCTTGGGAAATGATGAGGCTGGTCATAATTCCCTAGGACCAAAGAGTGGTTGCTAGTACATGGTCCACGGAAGATGAAACTGCTGACATCGTCATGGTGAGCTTGGCACTGGATCAAACCAGGAAGGCATCCATAGAAGCAACGCATGATGAGACGGTTACAAGCGTGGTGGGCGTTCATCACCAGCAGAAGAGCATGATGAGAAGCTGCTGATGCAAGCAGAGCATGCTGGGATGGCCACATCCAGTCTCCAGTGGCAGACCATGATTTTGTTTGTCCACAAGAGCAGAGAATTATCAGAGGATAATTATCAGAGGATAGCCGGGTGTGTCAGCATGTCCTTAAACAGCAGAGCATGATGGGAAGGTTTCGACAATCATTTGAAGCACAGCATGATGGGAAGGTGTTGGTGACATAATTCTGTAGTGAGAGTTTCAAGCTGAGCCGTCTGAAAGGGGAGGGCTCAAGGTCTCAGTGGAGTCTGTGCGAGGTACAAATAATTGTTGGAAGTAGCAGCTAGGACCCCACGGGGGCTGACATGAGTACTGTAGACACCTCCAGGCAGGTCATTCAGTACCCCTGTGCTCTGGCAGCAAAGCAAGAGAAGACAACACATCAGAGAAGGCAGAAAGCTGTATTCCCCAGATCTCTTCTTCCTGCATCCCACCAACCCTTTCCATCTCCTTTCTAAAAACCAACTATCACTGAGTCATGCAACCTGAGAACATAGGAGCATCTAGACCAGCCTCCTGTTTCCAATAGAGGCCAGGCAAATGCTTACAACTTGCAGGTTCTCAAACTTGTACAGTATTCAGAAATGTACCCTCCATTGGTGATTCTCAAAACACTGCCCCCTCAGTTAAGGTTACCAGATTTTTTTCAATGAATCTGGGGACACTTTTCAACTTCAATGGATTTTGTATGGGGACTGATTTGTAAATCCGGGGACTGTCACCGGAAAGTCTGGTAACCTTGCCCTCAGTAGACCACCTGAAAATGGCTGAAAACCTCAGTGGGACACTTATTTTTGCTTGCTTCAGTGCCAACATCATCAACATTATATGGATGATTATATTATAAACAAACCACAGGCATTAAATCAGTGTCTTGTTGACCTGTTTGATTAATCCTGGTCAATCAAAAGGGCCTCAATTTCCATGTCAGAAAAAACAAGTGCAGGTCCAAATACAGATACTTTTGGTTGTTCCAGAAACTCTCAGCAAATCAGCTGCATGGAGCTTGCGGACCACCACTGGTCCACAGACTAGAGTTTAAGAACTTCTGGACCATCTTTGATGCGGCTACACCATTTGACCATCTAACCCAATACTGTCTTCTCTGATTAACAGCAGCTCTCCAAGATCTCAGGCATAGACCTTTCCCATCACCCACAATGCCAGTTTCCTTGATCTTGAGACGCCAGAGGGTAATGAATTTGGGGCTTCTCCACACGATGCCTCTGCTCCCCCACTGAGCCACAGCTGTTTCCCACAAGCGACCCCAGCTAAGCCACCATACCATGAGGATTCTCCTGTCAATGAGCCGACATAAGTTATTCCGGCTCCCACCAGCTACAATATGGTCAACACCGAGGAAGTGGCAGGTATAAATCTGGGGAAGGAGGAAGAAGACAATCAGGCAGAAGGACAGAATGAAGAAAGGGGAACATTTTGAGTCCCACCATGCCATACTGCCAGGAAGGACTAGCATCTCACTAGCACCTCACTAGAAGATGGGAAAGGGGACCCTCTCAGGAATCTAGTACATTTTATGACCAGATCTCTTTGGGTGATGAGGAGCCAGGCCTGGAGAACACACAAGATGCTTAGCCCAAAGGAAGGGTTGGGAGGAATGGGGTCAAAAAAGGGTCTTCAACCTGCGAGTGGCCCCGGAAGTCTTCTGGGATGTCCATGATCTTGGAGCCAGTTTCAGCTTCCCAAATCTGGTTGAAGTAAAAAGTAGTATTTGTGTTAAACCCCCTTTTTAAAAAAATAAAATAAAAATCGACATTTTTAAAAGACACATACATTATTTACACATGCACAGTTTATTTTTAGCAATGTATCTCTCACTACCTCTAATTAAAGTCAAACTACACCCCCTGTAGGGACGCGGGTGGTGCTGTGGGTTAAACCACAGAGCCTAGGACTTGCCGATCAGAAGGTCGGCGGTTCGAATCTCCGCGACGGGGTGAGCTCCCGTTGCTCGGTCCCTGCTCCTGCCAACCTAGCAGTTTGAAAGCACGTCAAAGTGCAAGTAGATAAATAGGCACTGCTCCGGCGGGAACGTAAACGGCGTTTCCGTGCGCTGCTCTGGTTCGCCAGAAGCGGCTTAGTCATGCTGGCCACATGACCCGGAAGCTGTATGCCGGCTCTCTCGGCCAATAAAGCGAGATGAGCGCTGCAAGCCCAGAGTCGGCCACGACTGGACCTAATGGTCAGGGGTCCCTTTACCTTTACACCCCCTGTGGGATTTGACTTAGTTTTTAATTATTAGCAAACTTGAGGGGGCTGAGTTTTGGGGAAAGAGAACCCTGAGCTAGAATATTTAATCCTTTCTTCACTTGCCCTAAATATAAATCAATCTTCCCCCCTTCAAGCTGCTTAGGAAGCTCCTTATCCCAAAGCAGACCATTGGTCCATCTAGCTTAACAGTGACTGGCAGCAGTTTCCCAGCCGTACCTGGAGGGGCTGGGGATTGAACCTGGGACCTTCTGCATGCAAAGCGAATGCTCTGCCACTGAGCCATGGACCCTCCTCGCTCCACCAGGGAAAAATATACCCACCTCCGAAGCACCTCTTTCTCCAGTTCTCACCTGCAAGGTGTTGTTCCTCCTCCAGGAGCCTGTCAGGATATGTGTCCCGGTTTTGTCTATCGAGACGGCATCACCACAGACGTGAGGCCCAGAGATGCGCCTGTGGCAAAGGTGGAGCAAGGGTGTGGAGGAGGAGGCGAGAGGAAGAAGAGAGGGGAAGAATCATTAAAGGCTGAGGAGATAAAAAAGAAAAGAAAAGCAGGAAGGTGGGTGGGGAGGGCGAGAGAAGATTGAGGGTGAGAAGGGGAAGGGCAGTGGGGGAAGTAGGGGGTGGCTGCGCAGGCGTACCGTAAGGCATGTGATGACTGCATGCTCCAGAACTGAGGGGACAGAAGCCAGAGAACTGAGGTTAGGTGGGGTTCTCCCTCCAGCATCTGCCTGATAACATTTCCCTTTTGCCTAAGCTGACAGAGAAGCAGGGGTTGCTGGTGCCCTTTGATAGGGCAAAAGACAGGGAGTCCAACAGTAAGTGGCGCCGGAGCTAATGTCAGGCAGAGCCAACTATTGTTTGCTTTGCTCCATCCTCCCCTTCCTTGCTGAGCACGGAGACTGAGGAGGAGGCAGTTGACAGGCAGGGTCACCCAATGGGCTGGCTGTAAGCAGGAAGGCTGACAGGTGGGGCGCTGCCTAAGGGCAGAATTACCATACTTTTCCATGTATAAGATTATGTTTTTTTACAAAAATATATATGATTAAAATAGGGGGTCGTCTTATGCATGGATAGTGCATAGTGGGGACGTGGGATTGGTTGATGTCACGAGCCGGAGATTGTCAGCAGCATGTTATTGGTGGCCTCGGCAAGGGGCGGTGTCGATCGGTTGTTGGTTGTTTCTGCCGCTGAGGGGACAGATATTAGGAGGCTGTTGCACGAGTGTTAGCGTAGGTCAGGTGGGTGCGTGGTTTTCGGTAATCCTCCCCTAAAAAAAGCTCAACAACTCTGAGCTCTCCTCCCCCATTTTCTGTACAGTGGTACCACTGGTTAAGAACTTAATTCATTCCGGAGGTCTGTTCTTAACCTGAAACTGTTCTTAACCTGAAGCACCACTTTAGCTAATGGGGCCTCCTGCTGCTGCCGTGCTGCCGCTGCATGATTTCTGTTCTCATCTTGAAGAGAAGTTCTTAACCCGAGGTACTATTTCTGGGTTAGAGGAGTCTGTAACCTGAAGCGTCTGTAACCCGAGGTACCACTGTATTTTTAGTCCCCCCAAATAGGGGGTGTCTTATACATGGGGGCATGCTATACACAGAAAAGTACAGGAGCTTGGTAGGAGAGTGTCCCATTTCCCCTAATGGACCAGCCTCTGCTGCAAGGGAGGAAGGCCAGTGGCGTCTAAACTTCCTTCCTACAGCATGGCCAAGCCAAGATATTCTGCCACCTGAGGCAAAAGGACAATATGAAGCCCCTTCCATGTATAGATATTGACTAGACTGGTGGTTGAAT